TCCTTAATTGAGGGGAGTAGGGGCTCTCTGGGTGGTACTCCAAAGCCCAGCTGGTGCTTTGAACCGTCGGCTTTTTCCTGGCCCGCGGGACTTCCACCAAGCGGATACCAGTAATGTAGGAACCTCATTAAGAAACCTTGGGCCTGTATTAGGGTTCCTTACATGAATCATTCTTTTTTACAAAGTATGATTCCTTTAAATTTTTGGGGGTTATGGGCCCAGGGTTTCTTAATCAGGTTCCTACATTAGTGATGACATCAGCCGACTCACTAGTTCAAACAAAAACCCTTAAACCCTAAACCCTAAACCAGTTCAAACATGTCTGTCTCGGACCTAAGCAGTAAACTGCAACAAGCTCTGAACCAACAGTATCGCTCCGACCTCCGCAAACTCAAAGTTAAAGGCACCCTTACAGAACCCTTTAAAGGAACCCCTACAGATCCCTTTAAAGGAACCCTAGATCCCTTTAAAGCAACCATTACACCCTACTTGTCGGGTATCATGGGGAACTAAAGGTTAACCTTTTCGGTTATGTAGGGGGTTATATAGGGCCCATACTGCCCAAAAAAAGTTAAAGGTTACCTACTCTCCCTACTAGGTTACTAAGGCCCCTACATTAGAATCCTTATGGTAGCGCTTCTAGACCCCTTGAAAAGGAACCCTTACAGGAACCCTAGGAAGTTAAGCAACCGGCCGGGTTGTTCGATCGAGGCCGTCCAACCTCCGGATGCGCAGTGGATCAAGATATGGAGGTTAGGAGTTCTGCAAATTCATAAGGGAACTTAACCACAACCTTTTCAAAGATATAGAAACCCTAAACCCCCAAAGCCCTAAACCCCAGAACTTCTGCCTTAAGGCTAGAATCGAGAAGACACCCCACCGTCCAGAGGGGGCTTCAGGCTCGAGGATCCTACAGAAAATGTGTACCTGTGCGCGTTTATGTATATAAAAAGTATACACCTACATACATACATACATACATACATGCACACGAAAACACAGGCTGCTAAGGCATAGCTTCACATACTGCAAGGATATTAACAAGCTTAAAACATTTCGCATGCGAGACCGCAGAATTCACCGGTCACGGTTCGCAGACACGCCAGCTGGTTATGGACCTTGGTCGGCCCTGAGGAATACTCACATAAACCATAATGATGGCTCCTCGTACGCTAGCCCCAACTTTGTATTATATAGGTACTTAGGATGCTTTGGTATAGGGAACAAGATGCTCACATACAGATATGCATCTTGCACTCACTGAAACTGGAGCAAAGACAAACCAGGCACAAAAGCCCTGACCTGTGCCGCCTAAACTTTGCCAGGCCCTCGAAGTGAAACCTTGCCTCCACCTACGGTCCTGAAAAGCTACGCTTCTGAAACCCTAGATAAACAAACTTGCGCAAACAAAGAATGGGTACCTATTGAAGATGTCAGGTACCCACTAGATCAAACGACCCCGTTGCCGGCACCTGCAATGCTGCCCCAAGACTTTACGAATCAGTTCAAAACCATCCAAAACCTAAGCCCTTTTTGGAGGTTCATGGGTAGTCATACGTGGTGTTATACACCCCGCAATATGGAACTATAGTTGTCCTTCTTATAACACCAGTTAACACTATCCATGCAACTCCAAGTAAATCCTAGACCCCAACCCCTAAGACCCCAGAACCCTAGACCCTTAAACCTTAAGCCCTTAACCCGTAAGCCCCTTAAGGCTAAACCCCCAAACCTTAAACCTTTAGGCTCGAAATCCGGCGTGGATCGAACCCTGCTATCGAGCCCTTATAAATCCCTTGTGAAGAATCCCTTTAAAGGAACCCTATTCTAACGATTAAGGCCCCCTGTAGAAAATCTTTTAAGCTCGATTTCCGGCTTGGACGAAAGCGTCGACGGCCTCGGAGCCTCTTGGCGACGTATAGCAATCGAGGCCTTAGTAGGAGGCTTCGGGGTTTTCAAGGGCTTCAGGGTTCCTTTAAACGGATCTATACGGGTTTAAGGGTTCTATAAGGGTGCTATAAGGGTTTAAGGGTCTAGGGCTCTTAGGGTCTTCTATAAGGGTTTAGGGTTCTTAGGGTCTCCTTTCAAGGTTTTGTGGTTTTTCAAGGGTTGAAGGGTTCCTGTAAACGGATCTAGAAGGGTTCCCTCAAGGGGCCTATAAGGTTGTTGTGCTTAGGACTTAGCACAGGGTTTCGGGGCTTTGGTGTTTAGCGATTTGGGTTCAAAGGTTAAGGGTTTAGTGGTTAAGGGTTTTGGGGTGTTAGGGTTTATGTTAGGACTCTGGATTTTGGGCTTGTGGCCTAGTTTCGGAGTTTAGAGAGGCTCACAGAAGGGCTTGTATGTAGAGTTTAGGGTTTCTTGGTTGTAAGGCTGCAAGTAGGATTCCGGTTTCAGCTTCGTTCTGTCGGGCAAATGTGAAGGTTCAGGGATCAGCTTCATGGCTTCGCGATCAACCCCCTAAAACCCAAAACCTGAAGCCCAAACCGTAGCAAAGGGAGGGACCTTAAAGGTAGTAAACTCCAGATGGGTGTCAAAATTATGGTCCCTTTTTGGGGTTCCTATATCTTCTAATATATTCAATACGGCACCTAATATTTAGGGTACCCCAAAAGGTATTTAATTTGGACAACTGCTCAGATAGTTTCCTGTCCAGGAAAAAGATGAGGGACTCACACAACTTAAGCCCCTAAACCGTAAACCCTAAACCCCGAAACCCTAAACCCGGTAAGCCCTAAACCCTTAACCCTAATCCCTAAAACCCTACACCCTAATCCCTAAAACCCTAAACCCTAATCCCCAACCCCTAAACCCTAAACCCTAATCCCTAAACCCTAAATGACTCGAAGCCCTTAAACCTTCAAGGGTCAGGATTCCAGGTAAGGGTTCACCACACCAAAACTCTGAAACCGTGAACCGAATCCAAAATCACCAGAAGCACAAGCCCCCGCAGTACCTTGGGTTTAGGTTCAGAGGTCTATGGTTTAGCGGGTTCTGGTTTAAGGGCAAATGATTTATGAATGAGCCCTTGAAAAAACAAAACCCTTCCAAGGTAAACCCAACGCAGGAACTCGCACGTCTTTCAAGGTTCTACGTTGGCTATATGTATATGCGTATGTTTCTTTCTATCCATCTGTCAATCTATCTCTCCATCTATCTGACTAACTATTCATCTATCTGTCGTTCTATCTGATTCTATCTTTCTTGCGTTCTATATGTCTTTTGTTCCGTCTGTCTATCTGTTTATACATCTAACGATCAGTCTGTCCAGATTCTGCATACCTGTATATAAAAACGTGTATATATATACATACATATACTCATAAATGTAAACACACACATACACACATACACAGACACATCCGCATGCACAGACAGACACACATATACACATACACATACACAAACACATACACATACACATTCATATGCACATGCACATGCACATACACATCACATACACATCACATACACACACATACACGTGCACGTACACACACACACACACATACGCATATACATACGGATACAGATGCATATACACATATGTATGTATGTATGTATGTATGTATGTATAAACATTTACATTTATAAATATGTGTATATATATATATAAATAAATATGTATATATATATATATTATATTATATTATATTATATTATATTATATTATATTATGGATATATGGAGACCCGCAAGCTGGTTGTGAATAGGTACCTCTGTCAGGCCATAACAGAAATCGAAAGGTATGCTGGAGACCCATATCGTTGCGCTTTGACAGCTCGGTTCAAAGTGATGACTCCGAAAGCATCCGCGCGAGCAGCAGCTTCTAGAACAATAAGTTACACCTTGCTCATCACAGCCTCCCAACTCGCAGCAAGCGCCACGCTTCGTAGGTCATGCAATGTCACAGCTCAGTTCAAAGTGATGATTTTGTAAGCATCCATGATGGCAGCAACTGCCAGATCAAGTTACGAAATTCTCATCACAGCCTCCCAACTCGCAGCCAGCGCCACGCTTCGTAGGTCATGCAATGTAACAGCTCAGTTCAAAGTGATGATTTTGTAAGCATCCACGCAGGCAGCAACTGCCAGATCAAGTTACGAAATTCTCATCACAGCCTCCCAACTCGCAGCCAGCGCCACGCTTCGTAGGTCATGCAATGTAACAGCTCAGTTCAAAGTGATGATTTTGTAAGCATCCACGCAGGCAGCAACTGCCAGATCAAGTTACGAAATTCTCATCACAGCCTCCCAACTCGCAGCCAGCGCCACGCTTCGTAGGTCATGCAATGTAACAGCTCAGTTCAAAGTGATGATTTTGTAAGCATCCACGCAGGCAGCAACTGCCAGATCAAGTTACGAAATTCTCATCACAGCCTCCCAACTCGCAGCCAGCGCCACGCTTCGTAGGTCATGCAATGTAACAGCTCAGTTCAAAGTGATGATTTTGTAAGCATCCACGCAGGCAGCAACTGCCAGATCAAGTTACGAATTGCTCATCACGGCGTCCCAACTCTGAGCAAGCGGCGTGCTCCACAGGTCCACAGATCATGCCTTCTACCATTCCCAAAGGCTCCATGTACCCATAGAGTAGGTACTTAGCTCTTACAGTACCTATATAGGGACCCCTTTAAGGCCTAAGTACCTCCTATGTGGGCACATGGAGTCTTAGGCATTGGGGTTTCTCAGTCCGAGGTGTTCCCAGAGAGCCCCTAATCCCCTTAATTAAGGAGTATGGCGGAAATTATATAGGGCGGCTTCAAATAATGATTTAAGCTATATTCCTGAGTTAAGGGGTATTGGGCCCTCTGGGTTAAGTTGGTAAAAAAATCATCTCGGTGACAGCTGCTTGCTGCCGGCGCCACTTAAGCAGTTATGTGCGCAAAGTGTGGAACTGTTCCGACCACAGACCAGCTCTGGCATCTCAAGCCATTCTGACTACGTGGAAGCATCCAAGTTGGATCTGCCAAGAAAGACGGTTTGGAGTTTAGGGTTTGGGCTTCACTGGTACTGCGCCGACTTGCAGGCTATCACCCGGCAAAACCTGCTGAACCCTACCTGCACAACCGCACGAAACACGGCGCAAACCCACTGCTAGAATCTTTTGCCCCCCGATCACCGGCCCTACCTCCCTAGACCCCAAACTGCAGGAAGCAAGTCCCAACTCCGTTCCAGAAGGCTGCCAAGAAACCTGAGGTGCACGGTACGTAATTACTAGGATGCCCAGTAACCTAGGAATAAAAAGGGCCCCCTTTTTGGCATTGGGTACCTTTAGAAGGAGCCTAGGACTACAAAAAGGGAATAAGGGTACTACTGGGCGTCCTAGATTAAGATGAACGATCTTAACATGGGAGTAGTAGCCTGAGCTCTTGACTCGCAACCCTGACCCGCTATGATCCGCTAACCTCAACCAAAACACCAAACTGTAGAAGCCCAGATAACTACCAATACCTTTCCTTCGGGCTCCTTGTTTTAAAACCCCAAACTGTCGAATGCCAGATAATTACCAATATCTTTCCTTAGGGCTCAATATTATCGTAACAAGATAAAGGAGCCCGAGACCTTATTCCAAGTATTGAGCCCCCTACATTAGAACCCTTATTGAAATACTATAAACCCTATGAAGCCTTTTTCACTATAGTGGAACCCTTGTTAACATAAGTTAGAAAACCCTAAGACCCTTTTTTCTCAACAGTCACAGTCGTACAGCAGATATCTGAAGCACGTACACAACTGCCGCGAGGCCCTGACACGTCCACGCGGACCTCAATGGGCCGTGCCGCGATGCAAAAGCTGCGGAGATTAATCCTGGGAGTTGCTTTTGTGGGTTTAAGGTTAGTTACAGTTACTTTCGGGTATTACGGGATTAGGTCCAGGGCTTAGGGTTTAGGGCTCTGAAGGGGGATTAGAAGGAGTGTTGAAAATGGATTCTGGGGACTTTATATGTGGGCTTGACAAGACTACTGCGACGATTGCTATATGGGATGTATGGGTTACTATGAAGTCTACTTCATGTTTGAAGGAAAAAGCGCTTGCAGGATTCGTTGAAGAGTTTTGAATCTATGGATATTCAACGGTGTTAGGATTGTTGAGGGCTTTGGGATTGAGGCGGAGACGAAAGCTTAAGACGCCGGTATTGGCCTCAGGGTTCAAGTGCGTAAAGATCAGGCTTTAGGAGGGGATTTATGATCAACTAGTCGGGGTCTTGATACAGCTTTATTTTAGTACTTCGGCTGCTCGGGCTGGCGATTCACATCGAGGCCTCCACAAGCCAGAACAGGGCTTTGCGGTACTACAGTATCATACTGGTTAGGTTGGTTCCATCAGAGTTGTCATACGGATTAATTATGGCGTACCATCACGATCCTACAAAGATTATATATATATATATACATATATATATATATACATATATATATATATACATATCTTTAACTGTATACTCCCACTTTGTTTGCAGCTAAAGCCCTATACTATCGGGGTAGTTAGACACCTAGGGATACTTCGCAGTGATCTTTTATCAAATCTGCACTGTGCTTACACTGACCTGCAAAAATGATCCTGGCAGAAGTCACCGCGACCCAAGTGCCGGCTCGGCTTGGGGTAGCTTGAGTCATAGGGACCCTTGGGACTCCCTTAATAATAATAATAATAATTAGGATAACTCTAATTAAGGTACGTATAACTCGCCATAACCTACTTACTAAGTCACGTGGGAGTAAGGGGTCCGTATTATGGGCATTAAGGCCCCCTACCCCCCTCCCCCTACCCACCTGAAAGTCCCTATGATTGAACTTCAAAAGCCCCTGAGACTTCTTATGCGATGCCTCAGAACAGTCAACAGGCAGCAACCCCTATACATCTGAAAGAACAACTGACCCGGCTTAGGAAAAGCACCCAGCACCCCTGCACCTGAATCCCTAGAGCCCCAGTGGGACAGCGGCGCACGGTGGAGCCCATCGAACATCTTCGTCGCCCTGCGGTGTGTGTGTGTGTATATCTGTATGTATGCATGTGTGTGTGTGTGTGTGTGCGTGTGTGTGTGTGTGTGTGGGTGTTCAGGGTTCTTCTGGCTTCAAATCCCAAACCCCAAATCCTACCATAAGGGTTCCTGTATGGGTTCCTTTTCCGGATGTTAGCGGGTGTTAGGGTGTAGCTTGTGTAATCAGTACCTGGACAAAGCTGGATGTACCTGCAGTAATACGCGAGGTTGCTCTGTGTTTTTGCTTGTAAGTTGGACACTCTATGTGAGCTCAAAGCCCGAAGTTCCCCCTGCCAATTCCTAAGCCCGAAACCCGAAATCCATGAAGCCTACATCCCTAAGACCCGAGACTTCTCTTTTCAAGGTCGGGCTTAGGATTTAGGATTTTCGGGTGCTTTGGGGATGTAGGGGTTGGTGTTTAGGGTTTCGAAACTCGGGCATGGAAGGACTTGGCTTGCGGGTCTGGGTACGGAACAGCTGATGTCCCGTCCTGTGTTTCTTCACATTCAAGTACAGAGTCCAGCTTATCGAGAAAGCCATATATTTTGGAAAAATGATACCTTAAGCTGCCACCTCCTTGTCCGGAGAACAAGTCTGCCTGCACCAGAGCTCCTCAACAACCGGGACGTCGAATGTCCCGGATGCCGCAGAGCCCAAACACGCGAAGCTATTCAAGTGCCATTGACCGTTGGATTCGGTTAACTCGGTGTAACTCTGATTCTTATGTTAGGTTACTTTGTTTTGCTTTGTGTTTAGAGTCTGGTGTCTTTGCAAAACGAGCCATCATTTAAGGGTTTGTAGGCTTCGGGCTTATGGCTTACAACCGACAGAACAATCGCCAATTGCCTAAAACTTTCGAATCCCTGGATGGATCGGATTGGGGGAGGTCCTTCATGTAAACAGTCCGCCGTGGTCAATTCGTTTCGATGATAGAACGATCCAACAAGTCCGACATCAGCGCCATTACGACCGCGAGATCTGGGAGTTTCCGACAATAGAGGGCCCTAATATAACACCCTAAATACTAGGATCCTTTTTTTAAAGAATCCCAAAATACGGCACCCACCCTATTCTCGGAAACTCCCAATCTGCAAACCCTTAAAACTCCTAAGTGCGCGGCCCGTCAGACCCCAACTCCCGGCCCCCGACGCTTAAAGTTAAGCCTCAGGACTCTAAAACCCACTCAGCCCAAATCCTACTGTCGGATTAGGTTTAGGGTTGAAGGCTTTAGGGTTAGGGATCAAAACCGCTGCAGTAGAGCCATAAGTGCTTTGGTTTTGAGATTTACTTAGGGTCTCTATCTTACAATGTGAGATGTCATGGAAAATGATACCTTAAAGGAATCCGTAGGCAAGATGCTGAACCTGAATGTGCTCTTCTAAAGCCCTAAACCCTAAACCCTAAACCTAAACCCTAAGCTGTCTGACATCACGGCAACATCCCGGTCACCGGACCGACGAAACCTCCTCAAATCGGCAGATCAAGCCTCGTACACTACATATCAACCTTCATATATTAGGGTTTAGGGCTTTGCTAAGGTTTAGGGTTTAGGGTTTAGGGTTTAGGGGTTAGGGTCTATTATATGATATGTGACAAACATTTACAAAACATACCCCCGGAACAGCTGAACCTAGAAAGCACCGAAACTCCACCTACACCCCTAAACCCTAAACCGCTAAACACCTTAATTAACCCCTCACCCTAAACCCATCGCCCTAAGCCCTAAAGCCCTAAACCCCTCACCCTCAACCCTAAACCCCTTACTCTAAACCCTAAACCCCTAAACCCATCACCCAAAACCCATCACCCTAAACCCTGAACCTCATGACTCTAAAGAAACCCTTCAAGGAACCCCTACAGATCCCTTTAATGAAGGAACCCTAAGCCTCATGACACTGAAGACCGCCTGTCGGTAGGCCCTTGGACGGTGATGGCCAGCATGGGCCGGGAAGTGACGCCCTGATACGAAACAGGCCTTAACCTTTCGACTAGGGTTCCTAATCAAAGGGTCCTTTACGGGGGTCTATAAGGGATCTATAGTGGGGTTCTTTCAGAAAGATACCTCAATACCTAGAATAGGGTTTTGGGGTATATTATTTTATACTATAGTTAACAAGGAACCCCCAAACCAGTCTAGGTAACTATTTAAGCCCCTATATTTCGCGCGTGGGTGTTGCGTTTTGCTATGGACTTTTTGGGGGGAAGCGGGGGGGGGGGGGGGGGGTTGGGGCTTCTTCAATTTCCACAGAAATTTGCATGACGGCTGTCATTAAGAGCTTTACAAGCCTCCGTAAACTTCGGTAGCGGATTTTGTGGCTGCTGTGTGGGCTTAGGGGCTCCCGGCCCATACTTGGAGGATCATGCAACTTAGTAAGGTTATAAGTACCTTAATAACTGGGGTTATAAGTATAGTTACCCCAATTATCACCTGAGTTACTAAGTCCCATGATCCTTTGAGTAGCAGCAACTCCAACCCTGTGCGCTGTTTACCCGACATCCCAAACGGTCAGGGCGTCAGGGCTTGCAACAACTCCATGACATGCTTGTGTTGTGCGTTTTAAACCTTGAATAATCCTAAATTTCAAGCAATAAAACTGCTATACTACCACAACTGAACCGCAGCCGTTTTTCTCCAATGTGACTTCCCAACAGGTCATTGACTGGTAGCAAGAGGCTTCTTCCTTCCATATACTTACCCATAGGCTGCATAGTGTTCCTTTTTGGGAATACCTGAAATGATTCTAAATATGAGCCCCCCAAAAACGACTATGGAGCACACTAATGGTCGAGTCGAGTCCTGCCGAGAATATATGCTACTGGAGGGTCATGTTTACTTTGATGGGAAGACCGGGTGCCCAGCCACCATGTAATGTCCCTTTGCTCAATTTTTTTCATGAAAGGAACCGCTATTCAAGAAACCAACCGACCTACAAAGGAACATCACTGCGGACTACTTAGGCTTTCAGGTTGATCGAGACTTGGGTTTCGGGCTTAGGATGACGGCTTGCGTCAAACTCAGGCGGTCGGAAAAAACCGACAGGGGCATCTTTATGGAAACTCTTAAGAGTTATCGGGGGTGTAATTTCAAGCTCCTGCCTGCTTTACAGTGTTGTCGGCTGCAGGTTCATCTAAGTCCTCCAAAATCTCATCATAGTAAAGCGTGAGAAGTGGACCTGCCTGCTTTACAGTGTTGTCGGCTGCGGGTTCATCTAAGTCCTCCAACATCTCATCAAAGTAAAGCTTGAGAAGTGGACCTGCCTGCTTTACAGTGTTGTCGGCTGCAGGTTCATCTAAGTCCTCCAAAATCTCATCAAAGTAAAGCGTGAGAAGTGGATCGCTTGCGGAAAGCCATTCGCTGCAGGACTTGGCGACTGAAGTGATCATCTCCTGCCACCCTCCTTTGAGGTACGGCCCATATTGGAGAATTTTTTGGGCCTATGGCGAAGTCGGCTCGCCGGAGCACGCCTGCTGAGGCTAACCCAAGATTGCATCGTTCCCCCGACGATGGCTGCGGGTCGAAAACCAACTCGAGCATAGCCCGGCTTGCTGCGCATCCCGAAGGAAGTTAGCGGGAGCTCACTGTGTTCCTTCTTGATCGGTGGCCCGGATCGATGTCTTGGGGATCTTACGGATATACCCCAATCTTCTGACCCCAATGGGAGTTTCCGAAAATAGGGGACCCAAATATAGCCCCCTAAATAGTCGGATCTTTATTATTTAAGGACCCCCAAATTAAGTATCCCGAATTTTCGGAAACTCCCAAATGCATGACTTCCGCCATGCGAGACAGAACTGATCGCTGCTTGGGAGGGGCACGGGACTGAGTAAGCAGGCTATAAGTAGAGTTATAAGTTCCCTAAATGGAGCTACCCCAATTGTAACCCTACTTGTAAACGACTTACGAAGTCCTCTGCCCCTCCAAGTTGGGAGTTAGGATTAGGGCACCCTTGGGGATATAGACCCTCTAAATAAGGCCCCTTTTGAGAGAGCCAGAAGTAGGGTTTAGAAGGGGTACCCTTCAAGGGGTCTCCCTAATAATACTACCTACAAGTCCAGAACTGATCGCTGGTGTCTGCTCTGGCGCTTCGCCTGTTCGCCCGGCCCAGCTCGCACGTAATAAAGGGGCCTTAATCATTACCTATACTATTTTACTATTCCTTAGGGTTCCTTAAAGTTCCTTTAAAGGGGTCCTTTAAAGGGCTACTATAAGGGCTGTTATGGCCCAGCTCGCACGTAACACAACCCGGAATGGATTATACAGACACTACTGAGAATTATATAGGGACGACTATAGGGATCCATTCCCCCATTCCGTAACGCCTAAACCCTTTAAGGATCCCTTAAAGAGGCCCTAAATCCTCATAGGGATCCCTACTAAGCACCAGGCAGACCTTGACCCAAACCCTGGGAGCCTTCTAGAAACCAGCCCGTGAAACGCAAGCCCCTCAAGCCTCGAAAGCCACCAAACTCCCCCGTCCGTTTGGAGCCCTTCTATAGCCGAGCCGACAGCAGAACCGTCCTAGAACCACAAAATTGCAAGAAGGCCAAGGCAGCAAGCGGGGTGGGTGTTCTTCATTTTCCCCTCCTGCGCAGTCGCAATGAATCTTATGGCGCAACAAACCAAAAACGATCTTTTGTCAACCAGTCGAGCCCTTAAACAAAAATCTACGGCAACACGTAAGGAAAAATCCTGCCGAAACCCCTTCGAAGCCTCAGCCCGAAACTCTAAGCCCGCAAATCCCCCTAAAACCCCTAAAACCCCTTACCCTAAACCCCAAACCCCCAACCCCTAAGCCCCAAAACTCTAAACCCAAATACCCTTCAATCCCCAAACCCTGAACCCCCCCTGAACCCCTAATAGACCCTAGACCCTGAACCCTAAACCCCCAAAGCCCCTATAAACCCCGAAACCCTCGCCTGAACGTCACGCACCGCGCTGGTGCGGGCATTCAGTCCACTGTCCATGGGACCGAGAAGGAAGGCTTCCTGGCGGTCTCTTATGATACGGATCCTACTATTTAGGGTACTGTATTGGGATCCCCTATTTTCGGAAACTCCCATATAGTAGAAGGAAGGCTTCCTTCACGGCTTCTTAGGGTCTCCTTTAAGGGTTTAAGGCTCTAACACGGAAGGCTCTTAGGGCTCTTGTTTATTGCGGCTTCTTCGGTTCTTAGTTTAATTTAGGCGTTAGGGCTTTAGGGTTCAGGGTTCCGGGGGTGTTTAGGTGAATAGTTTAAAGTCTAGGGTTCAAGGAGGTTTTGAGGTTCATTCTTAGCTTAGGACTTAAGGTTTAAGGCTTTGGGATTCTTGGGGAACGGAGGCGTTCTCGGAGTTTGGGGTTTGGCGTGCAGGGTTTAGGTTTCTTATTAGGTTTTTTAAAGGTTCTATAAGGGATCTAGAAGCGTTTCATGAAGGCTTCTTCTGAGGGTTGAGCCAGGGATCTATACTAATCTTTAAGCCACTAATCTTTAAGCCTTAAACCCCAAATCCTAAACTCTAGAGGGGCTTAGGATTTAGGGCTTTCTGATTTTCAGGTTGTTCTTATCATCATGGCGACGACTATTGTTCGGCTTAGGGCTTAGGGTCGTTTAGGGTTCGAGGTTATAAACCCTGAACCCTAGGCCCTGGGTTGGTACAGGGGGCTTAGCAATTTTGCAAGTGTACTACATATAGTATAGCTGCTATAGCTCCAAGGAGTGCTATCACAACCGAGCTATTCAGGGCCCTGTGTTCTATGGGGCTTTGTATCCCAGAGACTCCAGTATCCCTTAATTAAGGACTATTCCCTAAATCATAAAAGGGATCCTACTATAATTCAGGGAATGTTCCCTAATCAAGGGATGTTGGAGTCCCCTGAACCCTGAAAAATCCCTTATAGTTCCATTAAAGGAACACTGAGGAACACTCCTTAATTAACCCTAGGGATCAAAATAGCCCAAAAGCCTTCTATAGTATATGGTCTTTGGGCCGAAAAGCCCAGGGATTCAAGGCTTTACAGTTTCCGGGGTCTCGGGAAAGCTCGGGTTCCCCATGGCATTCATCTCGCGGTGGACAGTGTCCCCGGTGCAGTTCCATGAACAAACCACGGTTTAGGGTTTAGGGTTTAGGGTTAACAAACCACCAAAATGTGGACTGCATGCTGCGGGATGTTGTTTCGCATGCGCTCCAACGAGCGACCAAGCAGCAGCCCGATGACCTGGTCCGCCATCGCTGTACGGAGATGACAGTTGTTGGAGGTGTAGATCTGCTCTGGCATGTAATCTGCCACAAGTACACAAGACTTCATACAAGTGTCTCGGCATTTCCCTTTGCGGCCACGTTGGTGAAGGATCGTCTCACCATGTATGTTCAAGTTCAAACTCAGCAGCAAAAATGCCGTCTCGACTTCCTGAAGTGGAGGCATGTCTGGGGACAACTCGAGCACATGCTCTTGTGTCGCCTGTTAGTTTCATTACTTTGTGGCCCCTTTAGCAGGTTTTGGGGTCTATGCGGGCATTCAGCCTTGGCAGCTGAGACCCTAAACCCTAAACCCCGCGAACCATATATGAATGGTTGTCAAAATTTGGGTTCCTTTTTGGGTACCCTAAATATTAGGTGCCGTATGATAATAAGGATCCAAAAAAGGACCCTAATTTTGACAACCATCCATATATAAATACGTTTCTCACCATTCGTGCAAAACATACTGAATGGAGAAATATCAATGACCAAACATCAGCACTAAAATAGGGAGAATGAAGATTGCCGTGCTGCATCTTTGAGAATTAAACCGCGAGATCCTAGCTTCGAACACGGAGCAAAACCCCAGAGAATTTAGAAAGAGATCTTTGAGTGTCCCAATGCCCAAATAGTTGGGAACCTTTCTCTGATTAGGTTTTGGGAGCCCATTCCAAAGCCATTCCTCGCCGGCCTTGCCAAGGAACTCCGGCGAACATCAACATAAACCGCTCATGAAAGCCCATGGCTCCTTGTAACACTCTGATTTAGACCTAAAGGGTTTCGGGTTTAGGGTAACACTCTGAATAAAACCAAAGTTACCATAATATGAAATCGTATTCTTTATGATAGATCGCTACTATGGTCTCTTGAATTACAATCCTCAACAAGAACTCAGAAAAGGAGAAGCCTGTTCTTGGAGACTATGCTTTGACGACGTGCTTGGGTGCCTCATCACCGAAGTCGTCCAGCTGAATGTGGTGCACCTTCCACTGTTCCATGTAAAGCCTACAGCCTACAGCCTGCGGGCCTGAGGACTCGCAGTTCAAGGGTTTGGGGCTTCGGGTTTGGGGGGTTGGGGCCTTGGGGTTCTACTATTTGCTTAAGAACCCCCCAAAAAATAAAACATATATTACTTATGGGGGTACTATAGGGATTAATTTCTTTATTTTTTGGGGGTAGGGTTCATGTTGTGTTTGGGGTTCAGGGCTTTAGAGCTCTCAAGGCTCAAACATGACTCGCTTTTCGCACGAAGGACCACAGTCACGAACGTGCTCAGAGTTACCCAGGAGAGCCCAGTACCCCTGAAGTAAGGAATATGGCTTTTATTATATAGGGCTTCATATTATGATTTAAGCTATATTCCTTACCCAGACCCCCGGGAGGATCCAATAAGTGGATCCCTTAATGGGGGTTCCTGTAAAGTACCCTTAGTAGTATAGGGCCCCAAAATAAGGGATCTACTTTCTAGATCCTCCCGGGGGTCTGGGTATTTAAGGGGTACTGTATTGGGCTCTCTGGGTAGCATTCAGTGTGGACCCGATACAGCCTTGCACAGAAACACGATGCAGCAAGTCATTCTAAAACCCTAAACCCGAAACATCCACCCCTGAACCACAGGCCAGGCCCGGTGTGCAGAAAGCCCAAATACAACTCAACTAGGGCTTATACCTCTAAATTGTAGAGGGCTACATGTTCTCCGTTTCGGGCCTGATCAATTTATAGAGTTCTGAATATTCAGACTTCGTCGGTTTTATCACGAATCACTCGTTGGTGTTTCCACAAAGATCCTCTAAGAAGTGGATATCACACACGCAGCCAAACCAGAAGTAGTTGAACACGTAACCAGCAAAGAACTGTGAGAACCATGACACCTGTCTAAGTCTCGATATACAAACCCTAAATGCCCAGCACCCTACACCAAAATATCCCGAAACCCAAGCTCAGAATCCCCAAACCCTAGAGCCTTGAAGACCTTGAAGACCCAAGGCCACAAACGAAACCGGACGTCCCTGCAACTAACAATCCTTGCCCGGTTTCCTAGTAGAACTAGAGGTGAACCTTTGGGGTTTGGGGTCTAGGGGTTTAGGGATCTAGGTTTTAGGGGGTTTAGGGTTTAGGGTTGGCTATACAGAGGTCACAGTACCCCAAAAGTCACTCTACTGCCAGGAATCCCTGCAACCTCAACCCTACAGCTTCTGCGCTTACAAAACTTATATACCCCCCCTCGAACCCCTATTCCACCGTCAGCTTCGCAGTCTTCTCTTTCCGGGGCTTCTCAAGCTGCACGTAGTCAACCTCACTGCGGAAGTAAGGGTCTAGAATCTCAGGCTTTCCCTACCTACCGGGTCATACCCTACACCTTTTTCGGGTGACTGGTTTCTGCAAACTAGGCACCCTTAAAACAAGTGTAGGGTATGGCCCATGAACGTCCCTGAACGTAAGGTCCGAGTTAAGTCCCCCCGAGGACAGTGCATGACTTCCATGTGAAGGCTTGCTCAACATGTTAGCTTGTTTTGATGGGCCCCAATTATTACCCTTAGGCTCTACGGAGTCATATTTTAAGGCTTTCGGGCCCAAAGACCATACTATATAAGGCTTTGTGCTATTTTGAGCCGTAGGGTTAGGGATCCCAATATTCCGTGCCTACATCGTAGACTACAGTTTTGGCCCAACTTCAAAGCTCGGACTTCTCTGATTGTTTTGGAATAGGGTCCCTGGGGGGCTAGAGACCGGCTGGACATGAAAAGCCCAGAGTCCCAGACGATTGGGCACATGTTAGACTCCCATTATGTGAAGCAAGTGATGAGTTTAGTGCTGCGTGGACACTTTCGGGGCTTTGGGCACGCCGAGGCGTAGAATTAAATCCGAAGCCCTACATCCTAAACCCTCTACGCCAGGGCCATCTTCTGTGTGCAGCTAAGTAGCCGTGAAACCCAGGAGCTCTTGCGGCGTGGAGATGAGGGTGTCCACCAAGCAGACGTGCAAGCCTCTCGGAACGGCTTAGTACAGGTTTAGGGTTCAGGGTTTACGTCAACACCCCTCAATTGAGGAATATACCTTGTGTCTTATTCGGGTTCCTCCCATCAGAATTTCCGGTCGATTCCTCAGTTGAGGATTTTTGGAGTCTCTGGGGAACGGTTTAGGATAGAGATCGCAAGAACTAGAATAGTACTATCCCATTATTGTATAGTCTCTACGCAGTTATGCTATTATAATATACCCTCAAAACCTTCTCGAGCTATGAAGGCCGGGGAACCTTGTTCTAATTATTAAGGCCCCTATATTAGCTACACTAAACCCTCATAGCAGTCCTTATAGTAACCCTTTATAGGACCCCTTTAAAGGGAACCCTTTAAAGGCTTCGGATATGGGTTGTCGGGTGGGTTTTAGGGTTTCAGCGGAGGTTGTGGCAACAGGGGACTTACTTGTTGGAGGTTCTGCTCAAAGGGGAAAAAAGGAGGGACCCTTAACACGGACCCCTACCCTATAATGGGCTATATGATGGGTATATACTAGCTATATTAAGGGTATATACCTAGGGGTCCTCATTAAGGGTCCCTCCTTTTACCCTTGGATCTGCGGGTCTATCCATCCTCGGGCCTATGTTACGGTGCGCCATGTCCGAAGGGTGGCCTTCGAAGGCTTTTGAGAAACGACTACCTTAAACTACCAAACCCTACTTTTTTGTAGGTTCTTATTATAACCCCTAATATGGAATTTATAGGGACCCTACAAAAAGTAGGTTTTGGTAGGCTAAGGTAGTATAGTAAGTCCCTATAGAACCCACGGGTCGTTATATGTAAACCACCAAAAGGCCACCCCATCCCCGTATCTGTCCAGTATATCCTACTAGAACCAAAAAAGTTAAGCTGCAGGGCTATTCACTCACAGGTTCTTGTGCCCCGAGAGGGGTCTAGGTTACTTACTCTACTACTCAGTTTGTGTTAACCCCGCCTGACAGAAAGATGTCGAAGCCGATCTTCGTCCAAACGTGCTCTTCGTCCTTCACAGGGCAACTGTAGGGCAACTTGTGTTCAGAGCTCTGGGATCTATAGTGATCTTGGAGTACTGTATACATGCTGATTAGTGTTCTGTAAGAACTTTAGGATGTGAGTTTGTGTCTAAGGCCTAAGGGCCTAAGGGCTCGGGTTTCAAAAGGCGCCGGGCATCATACACAGAACACTCCTCCCTAAAAGCAGATGCTTTGCCATGAGGTTCGCTTTCCCCGTTTTCTTTCGCCCCGGTGTTGAATCTTTCTGAGCCTGAACCTCTACAGCGACAGGCAACAACTTTGCCTTGGGAATACCGCGACTCTCGCACAATCGCATAAGTTTAAGCTGGGAAACATGCATGACTTCCAGTAATATCCAGTGCTTCGACCCGAAACAACTTCAGCTTCGAATACGTCATGTTTAAGGTTTAGTGAAAAGTCTAAGCCCCGAGCCCTGAATCCTAAACCCCAATACTCTGAAACAATCTTCAAGCAAAATTTTCGTGGCCTCGAGCCCCAAAATCTGAATCTTAAACCCTAATTCATACTTTTAAACAATCTGCAACCATAATTTCTAAGCCCGAGCCCCACACCCTAAATCTTCAACCCGAATCAACCAAAAAACCCTAAATGCTAAACCTCTGAACCCGTAAACCCTAGACCCGCAAACACCCTACACCCTTATAGATCCCATATACCGGTCCTTTCAAGGAGCCCGAATAAAGCCCTTGAGCCTGCACCATCCTGACTCCTCGTCCTAAAACACCGAAAAAACCCAAACCCTACTGAACCCATAAACACGTCCCTAAGCTGTCCAGCTCGCTGGCGATGAGGTGGTCCGCCTCGGCCTGTGCTCAAAGGGGATTTGTTTAGGTTTGGAGCCTGAGGGTTTAGGAGTTTAATTTAGGGGCTTATAGGGTTTAGGGCTTTAGGGTTTAAGGGGTTTAGGGGTTTATAGGGTTTAGGGGTTTAGAGTTTAAGGGGTTTAGGGGTTTACAGGGTTTAGGGTTTAAGGAGTTAAGGGGTTGACAGGGTTTAGGGCTTGGGGTTTAGGCTTGGGGGGTTGCTTGAAAGTTATAAGGGGCTACTGTAAGGGTTACTGCCGGCAAAGGTTTAAACACTAACTGAAGGTTTAGAGCTTTGAACGCTGCGTCAAAGTGAGCGGGCCGTCGGCGGGTGGGTGAGTTGGGATCTTTTGGGAAGGACAAGGTGAGCGGGAGTGGTCAGTACCTCCTTTAATATAATCAAAGAGGAGAAGGAGGGACCCTTAATGGCACCCCTACCCTATAATGAGCAAAAGTCTTGGGGTGGACCACCGTAGCCCGTAAACCCCCAAACGCTAAACTCTTGGCCCTCCTCCGGCTCTGAATCGCTAGACCGTTGCTTGGAGAGGCAGGGGGACTTCGTAAGGGCTCATAAAGGGCTCCTTAAAGGGATCTGTAGGCTTCCTTAAAAGGGGTCTATTGGGTTTAGGGTTTCGGAGTGTACTTGGAGGGGCAGGAGACTTAGTAGGTAGGTTATAAAGTAGAGCTATAAGTACCCTAAATGGAGTCGCCCCAATGATAACCCTACTTGTGAACGACTTACGAAGTCCGCTGCCCCTCCAAGTGTGCCCTTTGCAATCATGGCGAACAAAAGCACTTTTTGGAGATGGCATGGAATCCCAGATTCCATGATCAGGCTGGCTTTACTTTCGCAAACCCTAAACCCGGTAGACCCTAAACCCCAAAATCCTAATATAGTACATGTTGACCCTAGTATAGTTCCCTAAGGGTCTAAGTACCTAATAGTCATATACTCTCCCAAATTACCCTAAACACTAAACCCTACTATCCGAAACCTAAGTACCTTATTTTTGGGTTCTTCAAAGGGCCTTCAAGGGTTGTTCGACCCTAAGCTTTAAATCCCTAAACCTAGGGCTTCTCAGCGACCCAGAGTTTGGGTTGCGCCTGGCTAGTTGCGATCACTACGGCTGATGGACAGAATCCTGCATTACCCATAATAGTTAATATATATATATATATATATATATATATATATTTATTTATTTATTTATTTATTTATTTATTTATTTATTTATTTATTTATTTATATTTATATTTATATTTATATTTATATTTATATTTATATTTATTATTATATTATATTATATTATAATCTTTTATTTTTTTACCCCCTATTTTTATTCCCCCATTATGATATAACAGAATATATTATTATATATTATATTATATTATATTTATCTCTATTATATTATTATATTATATTTATATTATATTATATTATTATATTATAGTATATTATATTAGATTATTATTATATTATATATTATTATTATATTATTATTATATTATATTATATTATATTATATTATATTATATTATATTAGATTATATTATATTATATTATATTATATTATATTATGTTCTATTATATTATATTATATTATATTATATTATATTATATTATATTATATTATATTATATTATATTATATTATATTATATTATATTATATTATATATATTATATTATATTATATTATATTATATTATATTATATTACATTATATTATATTATATTATATTATATTATATTATATTATATTATATTATATATATCTCTCTCTCTTAGAAGGGGCCACCACCCTGTAATAGTGGTATAATAGGAATATAATAGGGCCCTAGTATAATCCTTATAGTCACCATTACAGGGTGGGGGGCAGCTTCTAAAAAATATATGTGCTAAGGATTTAAGGTTTAGTATGACTGCATGTTTGGGGTCGTCAATTTCGCAATTGAAGTGTAAATCGGAAGCCCTACCCCCCCCTGCCCCCAAAGCCCGAAACCCTGGTCCCTTGTTGATGGCAGGCCAAAAGGGGGTTTAAGATTCTTGGGGTATTCATTCCTTAATATGAACCCGATTATGGGAACCCTAATCCCTACTAAACCCCCATAGGCTAAAACCCCTTTTGGCCTCCTATGACTTGTATCCGTGTATCTTGCCAAACCCTGGTCCCTTGTATCTAGAGACTCCAATACCCCTTAATTAAGGAATCTTCCTTAAATCATATTAAGGATCCTACTATAATTTAAGGCATATTCCTTAAATCATATACTATAATATAAGGTATATTCCTTGATTAAGGGGTATTGGAGTCTCTGGGTATCTTGGGGTCCCGCATTGTCACCATCCTCGTTGGCCTGCGGCATGAAACCAAACTTAGTAAGGGCTCCTTAAAGGGATCTATAGGGTTCCTTAAAGGGATCTATAGGGTTCCTTAAAGGGATCTATAGGGCTCCTTAAAGGATCTATAGGGTTCCTTAAAGGGATCTATGGGGTTTAGGGTTTAGGGTCTACTTAGAGGCCCAGGGGACTTAGTAAGTCGGTTATAAGTAGGGCTAGAATTGGGGTGACTCCATGTAGGGGACCTTAAAACTCTACTTATAACCTACTTACTAAGTCCCCCGGCCCTCTAAGTACGCAAAACAGCACATGCTTCAAAGAGAGTTCAGTCAAGGGTTTCCATTAAAAAAACCGCAGGGTCCTATGTACCGATATAATAGAATGTAGAGTTGCCATATGAGGAAATACTACTATGACTGAGTGAAGTATCCCCCATAACAGTACAAAGGACACATTGGGAAAGTATCCTAGCAGTGGTCTGGTTGGGTTTCTATCCATGTAACACCTTACTTGTACAGCGGCCCGGAAGCTCGTAGATAAGGATCTGAGAATTAGGGTCCTCTCGAATCCCGCTTAAAGGCACCCGTATACCCCAAAGCTGGGTTTAGGGTTTAGAACCATTTTGTTAGGTGCTCCGATGGAGTTAAATGGTATCACACTTTCTATGCTGCACCCTTGACTGGGAGCATCTCCAGTACATCATAATCATAAGCTCTCCCAAACACTGACCTACGAAGCTACTATCCTAAACCCAAGTCTAAGGGTATGTGCTCTGGCTGCTCCGGCAGATATGCAGTCGTTAGGGGCTCAAGGGGTTGCAGGGTCAAGACCATCACATCCCATCCTTCAGGCTCATACTAGAAAGGTCTTCATACCTTGGGTACGGGCCCCACTCAGTAATAGTTGAACTACATTCATAATATAGATATATAAGGACCTTAATAGTAGCCCTACTATAGACTCGTACTGTATGGGGGCAGTACCTAATTCATACCGAAAACCCTGAGTCCGAAGATCCGAAACCCTAATCTAGAACCCCACGCCCTTACGCCTAAGACGCTCTTAGCCCAAGCCCTAAACCCTAAAGACACCCAAACTCAATCATGGAGGCCCCGCATAAAAGAAGCTCCAAAAACTCACATCCAATAAAGGCCTAAACCCACAACCCTACCCCAAAACACCTGAGACCCTAGACCCTCATCCCGGACCCCAAATGCCAACACTTAACACACTAAGGCCCTCTGAACCGTAAGCGCTAAGCCCTAAACCCCACGCCCTTTATCTAGTTCATCGTTGGGTTAGCATTTAAAAAAATGTTGAATTTCTATTCCTTATGTGGAGTGTACCTGGTTACCCACCTATAACAAAGAAAGCCCTCATCCCTCGTAGTCCAAACCCTAAACCCTCAAAACTCCCAAAGACACTCGAAACCCTACTTAAAGGATCATGGGACTTTTAGTAAGTAGGGTTATACATAATTAGGGTAACTATACTTATAACCTATAGCTACTCATAACCCCAATTAAGGTACTTATGACCTTACTTACTAAGTCCCATGATCCTCCAAGTAAGCCCTCAACCCGAGAAACCCTAAGCCCTAAACCCTAAACTCCGAAACCCCTCAAACCCCTAAACCCTAAACCCTAAACTCCTAAACCCTAAACTCCTAAACTCCTAAACTCCGAAACCCTAAACTCGTAAACTCCTAAACCTTAGACTCCTAAACTCCTAAACCCTAAACTCCTAAACCCTAAACTCCTAAACTCCTAAACCCTAAACTCCTAAACCCTAGACTCCTAAGCCCTGACCCTAAACTCCTAAACCCTAAACTCCTAAACCCTAAACTCCTAAGCCCTAAACCGTAAACTCCTAAACTCCTAAACCCTAGCCCTAGACTCCTAAGCCGTAAACCCCAGCCTCAGGGTCGTAGAGGCGCAAGCACCGGGCGGCGCCCCGGAGCTTCAACGTCGCGCGCAGGGACTGGGGCAGGGAATCGAACATTTTTTTGGGTTTAGGGGCTGTTTTGGGTTTTGAGGGTTGAGGGTCTAGGTTCAGGGCGTTTTGGGGTTTTGAGGTTCCTTTAAGTCTATGAAGGCTACTATAAGGGATGAGGTTTTCGGGGGTTGGGCGGCTTTGGAATTCGGATGTTTTGGCGCTTTAGTGTTTGGGCGTGCTGGGGACTGGGGGTTTGAGGATTTGGGGTTTTGCGGCTGGTGAGTGCTTTTTTGGGGGGCTTAAGCCCAGAGAGCCCCTCATCCCGTGAATTGAGGAATATAGCTTAATAAATCATAATAATATGAAGCCCTATATAATTGAAGCCATATTCTTGAATTAAGGGGATTAGGGGCTCTCTGGGAGGTTTTCGGGTTTAGGTTTGCAGCTTTCGGGCTGTAGGCCGAGTTCACCCTTCATAAGCATCTAGGACATGGGGCTTGGGGGTGCACTGGCTGAAAGTTGTAGGATATTGTTAATGGACAAAATCCTAGGCTTCCTTTAAAGGGATGTATAAGGGTACCTTTAAGGGGCTCCTTTAAGGGATCTAAAGGGTTTTGGGGTTTAGGGATATAAATCCTGCATGACCCATTATAAGGAATATACCATAGTTCCCATAGTTTAGAGTCCTCAGTATTGAAGACGTGGGTTTAGGACTTGGAATAGAGGAATTTGTATGTTAGGGGGATAGGGGTCCTAGGGTTTGCACAGCGGCACTCTTCAGTATTTCCATCACTGGCCCGAACACACGCAGAGGCTTATATAGGGGCCTTAGTAAGGAGAGTAGGGTGTCGGAGTGTTCTATACAATGTGCTCATGCACATATGCAGCCCTTACACAGGGTATTGACGATCACCTAGATTTAAACCGCTACACATACAAGATACCTCTCCGATACGAGAGTCTAGAGTCGTCCAGATGAAAGTGGACTGCGGACTGCAACCCGACTAAGGCTAACGCCATGAATCTACCCCGTCAGCCACGACACTGAGATCCAAAAACAACAGTTACTACGCATACCGATACAGTAAAAGCAAAGATGCAACATCATCATCGACCCAGCACTAGAGCTACTCTGCTAGTAAAAATGGAAATCTAGCATACATCATCCTATGTCTGTCCCAATATTTTGACCCTACCTGTAGACTCCTTCTTTTCTGGAAGACAGTCCGCACTGCAGACCCTGGACTAGAGCCCCAAAAAAGCACATAAGCAAAAATTAGAATAGTGATATCCCATATAAACCCCCTTATAAAGAAGCCCATTATGGTAATCTCCCTCCCTCGACTTACAGACTACAATCCTGGTCATTCTAGCATCAAGGCCCGCAAAATAGATACAGACCGTCTTGTGCCGAAGTCACTATGCCATAGAACCCTAGACCGAAAAACCCTCAAAGAAACCCTTCCAGGAACCTTCAAGGAACCCTTAGAGGACAGCAAGACTCTCTGTGCTTGCAGGACCGTTATGCAGCTCTACATAAACCGTGTAAGACCCTTACGAAACGCTCACAAAGTACTCTTTGATGACGACTCCCCAAACCCGCGGGAGGATCCAAAAAGTAGATCCCTTAATGGGGGCTCCTATATAAAGTACCTTTAGTAGTATAGGGCCCCAAACTAGAGGATCTACTTTCTAGATCCTCCCGAGGATCTGGGTCTTGGGCAACAGAAATCGCCCTGTTGTCTGGGCCGACCGGCAGGTCCCGTTGTACCCGGCAGCCATAGGTCCCGTCTGCGCCCGCCCGCAGAGATGTTATCCAATTGGTAGTGAGCCACCTGAAACGGTTTAGGGTTTAGGGCCTAAACCCTAAATCCTAAACCCTAAAAACTTTAGGGTAAGTTTCGAGTTTAAGAGTTTCTGGTTGGGGTTTGGAGCTTAATGCTACGTGGTCTAGGGGTTGCAGGGCTTGTGAAACAACTGCAGCAGTGTTCTCGACAAGGGCTTGCAACTCCACCTGTCAGAGACGGTTTGTAGATGGGTAATTCTCTACATTGGGGCATTAAGGTCCCGATATGGAAAAAGATCGAATGAGAGGCACTGCTTAAATTATGTAGGGCTTCATATTATGATTTAGACTATATTCCTGCAGTAAGGGGTATTGGGCTCTCTGGGCCAGTAGCATATGTCTGCGATCAGCGTCTTCTCCTCACCCGCTCATCGATTGCAGACTTCGTCCTCCTTCCAAGTGGTTGATGCCACCCATCACTCGAATCTTGTCGCAGGCATCTCTGACGGGAAAGAGCAATTCGGGTGGTGTACGTGCACTGTTCAACACGAACCGCATTCCACCCACATCCCAGGCAGCTGCCGTGGGAGATGTGGTTTGAGGGTAGTTCCACCAGGCTTCTGATGGCAGCTGCTGAATTTAGAGAGCTGCCCAACATGATCGAGGGCCTATAAGATGATGAATAAGCATGCATGAATCTTAGCGAACACCCGGACAACGAGGGAGACAGCACATATATATACATATACATATATACATATACATATATATATATATATATATATATATATACATATTATATATATATATATATATATGTATATATGAATATACATATGTATATATATATATATATATATATATATATGTAAACATATATATATATATATATATATATATATATTATACATAGGTATATACAAATGTCCAGTTTAACATCACTCCGACAGAAAAAAACACAGCGGCGAGCGCCTTTCTGGCTTCAAGCAAGCTACTTGGAGGCCTGTGGCGGCTTAGTATCGGGGCCTTGATATTAATTAGAATAGGGTTTCGGGGCCCATTATAGCGTATAGTAACTATAATCAGGAACCCCGAAAATAGTATGGGTAATTATCTAACCAGTGGTTTTTCGGTTCCCTTGGCTCTTTAGCTCCTTACTTAATAGGGATTATCATCATCCCTGGCTCCTTAGCTCCTTCAATATCAATGGTTAGGAAGTAAGTAGAGCTGAAGGACTCAGGATTTAGGGTTTAGGGTAAGATGTGGGGTTTAGGATAGGGTTTTGGATTCCAGGGTAGGGTTCCGAGTCTAGGGTTTAGGGTTAGTAGGGTTTTGGGGCTCAGGGCGTTAGATACTTGTGAGCGAATACATGGAATGTCCTGTCCTGATGGGGGTACACAGGCAGCCCACACCCTTGAAAATATTCTTCACCTCCACAGCGCTTTGCGTTCTAACTTGTTCTTAAACCGTAGGTTGAATTACCGGGATGCCAGTTGTTGAACCAACTGTTCCGTAGTTCCGACCACGGACCGATGATGCTTCGACGAAGATGCTCTTTGTCTGTTGTGCCCAAAGCTCCAAGGTTGTAGTTGGGTTGGTGATATACATCCTGTATTACCCTACTAACCATCCTAGACTATGGGAATTATGGTACATATATATATATATATATATATATATTCCTTATTAATTACTAAGTGTAATGCAGGATGTGTTCATCAGCCGTAGGTATTAGGCTGGGTTGCCAAAGACATAGCGGGCTGCCGGGAACTGGAAGCTCTCAGATCTCTTAATCCATTGGACCGTTTCGGGTCATGTGCCCAGAGAGCCCCTTGTCCCCTTAATTAAGGAATATACCTTAAATTGTATAGGGCTTCATATTATGATTTAAGCTATATTCCTTATTGAAGGGGCATTGGGGGGCTGTGACTGTTTGCCTAAACTTAGCGTATATGAGGAAGACCTTAACCCTAAACCCCACGAAAACTCCATACCGCTTTGTTACATGATTGCGCTGACCAGTGTACCGCACAGCTATCCGTAGCGGCATAAGGGCTGAAAGGGTGGGATGAAGGGAGGCGGGGTACTCCCCAAATGAAACTTCTTCTTTAAGGCATCCTTCAAATCATCAGCATCGGAAGCCGTAAACCGGGAGCCTAAAATTTCAAGTCCCAAATCCTAAACCCTAAATCCATCAACCTTAGACCTAAATCGTCAACCACAAACCGTAAAGCTCTAAACCCCTGAAGCCCCGTAAACCGGAAGCCCCTCACCCATAAACCCGGAGCCCAAACAGCCCAATCCTAAACCTGAAAGCCTAATCACTAACCAAACCTCCAACCCGCAGCCCTAATCCCTAAACCCTTATTCCTGCATTCCTAATCCTACTTCCCCGAACCCCCAATCCCTAGATCCCTATACCCCAAGTGGTCCAACTACCTAATCCCCACAGCACCAAACCCCAAATCCCTCAACCGCAGCCCTAAACACCCTCATCCCCTACTAGCCCTAAACCCCCAAAAGCCCAAGTTGCCTTGTCCTGGCCTGCCCCAAGGATGCGCCCTGCTCATCAACTTTTTCTTTCGGGCTGGTTTCCATCATGGGCTCCTTTAAGGGATCCTTTCAGTCATTCTTTTGGGGGATCCTTTGACCTTTGAGGGATCCGTTATAGAGCCATTAGAATCCTTAAAGGGATCCCTTGAAGGGTTGGTTCTTTAAAGGAATCTATACGGCGTCTAGGTTTGCTCTCAGGGATTCATAAGGCTTCCTTAAGAAGGGTCTTCAAGGGATCTATACTTAAGGGAGCCAGACGTCCTTCCAGGGAGCCAAAATAGCCCTTCAAGGGTGTAAGCTCTCAGAGCTTTGCAGCGGGGCCGAAAGAAGCGGACTCGGGTATCATAGTTTCTTATAGGATCCAATAGCTTCCGATGGGTTGTTGTAAGCTTTCATAGGCTTCGATAGGTGCTGTCGGTGGGTTTTACGAGTCGTCAAATACTGCTGAAGGGCTTTAAGGCTTAAGTCTTCGGGGATCCAGAGTTTACGGGTTAGGGTTTACCCATAGGCCCCAAAGTAGTTCCTTTTTGTGGTTCATATACAGAATCCTATAAGGTAATCCCAAAAAGGAACTACTATGGGGCCTATGAGTAGGTTTAGGGGTTTAGGGTTGTTAGTGTTTCGGGCCTTACGGCTTGGGGTTGGGCTCGAGGTGTTTTTCTCGGTAATCGCCGCCTTTGCAAAGAAGGGCTTACATGGGGTTCCGTTTTGAAATGGAGGCTACGACATTTCACTATGCACCATATATATATATATATATATATGTCTTCAAACTGGTCTTCCACACCCCAAGCTCTAAACCCACCGGTTTGACCTCGATCCCGAAGCCGGTGGCTCTACGTTGGCTTTATTGCAACGTGGGTGCACTGGGTTTGTGTCAAAAGCCGCCTTTCACCTGACATTGTTGAAAATGCTTCTTGGGAATATACCATTCCGAATTTGTTGGTTTTTGTACGTGCCACGGGTGCTGAAAGACCCAAAGCAGCAGCGTTTCGGAAGGGGACCCCAACCAAAGCCCAAATAACTCCCATTCCCCGAAGCTGCTGAACAGCTGACTGACAGGATGCGGCGACGTAGGTTAGAAGTGAGGCTGTAGCTGGGATTACTCTTGGAAGGTCCTTCAACTTCTATTTCCGACACCTAGCCCTGAATCCTAACCAGTAGAACCAGCTTACTACGTCTCTGAGCCTAATTAAATAGAATTCAATGTTTCCGGGCTTGGGTTTATAAGTTATTGGAAGCCTCGTGGGGTAGCTTTCTAAGGAACCTAAGACCAGAAAAAGGAACAAGGGCCCCACTAGGAGATCTAGATGAACTTCAAGCACAGAAGATCTGGCAAGTATAGGTGTAGACAGGGTTCTATGTAGGAGAACTTCCAAACCCCCTTGTAGTATGTAGCTTGTATAACCTGTCAACGACGTCCTCTGAATTTATCGGTCCTACTTGGAGGGGCAGGGCACTTAGTAAGTAGGTTATAAGTAGAGTACCCTAAATGGAGCTACCCCAATTCTAAACCACTCTCAAAAAGCAGAAGCGACACTCTTCCCTCACAGGCACCCCCCTCCATATCAAAACGAGGGGTCTAGATGATAGAACAGGGGTTTTTGATGGTCTGTGGCGTATGGAGTTGCATTAATGAATACATGTGACTTTTAAGGCCGCGACAGTAGGCCTGCGTTTTGGGGCCCTGGGTCTTTGATGCAAGGATAGCCTACCTCTGGAGGGAGTCTAAGGTTCAGAGTTTAGGTGGGATGCTAGATACCGACGCCTAAGATGCGTTAAAAGGCTTCACGGCTTGGGGTTCAAGGATTGGGATGCGAACTTGAAGCTAATCGCAGAAGCTTAACGAAGGCTTAGCGTTTAAGGGTTTGGGGCGTCCAGACCCTAAGCCCCAAAAGCCCACACCCCGAGTAGATCCTGCACCGTCAGAGTTTAATTAAGAGCTCCGGTGCAGGGTTAGGGTTCAAGAGTTTACCTACCCCCCAACTACCCTCTAATATGCCCTAGATAGACATCCATGAAGGACCATCAGGGCTCTGTTACATAACACTTGGGGGGTCCTGGTAAGCTTTAGGCTACTATCGTGGAATCGTGCGGGTTTCTGTTTATGATTACGGTATAATATACCCGCCCAAACCCTATTCTAATTATGAAGGACCCTTTAAATTATACTATACCCGCCTTAGAACCATACTAAAAGTAATATTTTTTGAATTCTCTTGGGTTTGATATGAACAAAAATAAGAGCATATTTCCTATAAGGCCCCTATACTGTATCATAGTACCCTTATAGATCCCTTGTAGTAACCCTTATAGACCCCTTTAAAGGAAGCCCACAAGCCCAATTCTAGTTGTTAAGGATAGATCCCCTATGGAACCCTCGGCCCAGGTGGCCTACCAAGGTCTTCGGCTTCTCCGGATCCGGGAAAACGATGCGACGAGCCTGCTGTCGAGCTCAGGGCTCATACCCTAAGACTCCATGTGCCCATATAGTATATAGGTACTTCGGCCTCAAAGGGGTCCCTATATAGGTACTTTAAGGGCTAAGTACCTACTTGATGGGTACATGGAGCCTTTGGGATATAGGGTTTAGGGAGGTTCCCGGTTCAGGGTTTACTATACTGAACTTAGAACCCTAGCAAAAATTGTAATTTTAGCTGTTTCTTAGGGATTATAATAACCAAAAATTAGAAAGTATTTCTAGGTACCCCTAAGTTTAGGCAGTTTAGGGTTCAGGGCTTAGGGTTTTAGGGAGTTCGGGGCTCAGGGTCGCAGAAGCTTCAGGTTTTCGGCTTAAGGAGGTCTGCATGACACTTCCTTGTGAATATGGTGTCTACTTGTACAAGCAAGTAGATAGTAGATAGACAACTGGGTAAGTAAGCAAATCAACTACCGCATCTGTGCCTCTCTTCCTCGATATACAAATGTGTACATAGAGAGAGCGAGAGAGAGACATCGAAGGTTGTGTTTTTATGTGCATAACACTCTTTCGAATTTCCATACTTGTTTAACTGCGTCTCTGCATATGTACAGATGCGCGCTACCGTCGCCACTTGACGGCAGCCGCTGCAGAAGCAGCAGTACGGGGAGGTACTTGGAGGCCCAGGGGGCTCAGTAAGTAGGTTGTAAGTAGAGTTATAAGTACGCTGAGAGATAATTACCCCAATAATAACCCTATCTATAACCGAGTTACTAAGTCCTCTGAGCCTCCTAGTATGCCAGTAGCAGATGCAGTAGAAGGAATAGTAATTGAGTAGTAGGAGGTGAAAGCGGCCACAGCCGGAGCAGCGCAGTAGCTGCAGCAGAACTATTGTCATGGTCATCTTCGTCAATAAAGGGTACCAAAAAGTATGTAGAATAACAGCCTTTTTCGGTCTTGGGCCATTATTTTAACTATTTTGCGGGCTTAGGTAATAATAGTCAAAACAACCATGTAAAACTGTCAGACACTGGCCTAAACCGTAAACTTATAACCCTGAACCCCAAACCTCAAAGCGTCTAGTAGAAGCAACAACAGTAAAGCCATTCGTCATTTGTGCTGGTATTGGCAGTAATATTAATACTAATCCTAGCATTAGTGTTATATAGTATATTGGTACAAAGCAACAATAGTACTTGAAGCTATCACAAGCAAATGTTAACCTTTTCAATCATTATGGTAGGGTTACATAAACCCCAAGGCTACTCAGCTACTTAGTGATAGAAAAGGCCACAAACAATTCTGATGTAGTATGGTCTTTGAGCCCAAAGGCCTTAACATATGAGTCCCTAGAGCCCTACTGAATAATAATTGAAGCTAATGTAGGAACCTGACTAAGAAACGTTGGGCCTTTATTACGGCTCCTTATACGAATCTATCCTACCATTTGGGGGTTAACTATAGGCACAGGGTTTCTTAATCAGGTTCCTACATTAAACCCTAACCCCTAACCCATAAACCCCGAACCTCAGAGCTTCAAACCCCAAATGCCGTAGGGGTCCTCAGCCCGCACTCAGTCCCTGACTCAGGTTCCTGCAATATCACCTCTGAACCCTTATAGTACCCTGAAAGATATCCCTGAATGGAGCCCTATTCTGATTATTAAGGCATTAAAAGGATTTGAAAAAACCCTATTCTGACCATTAAGGCCCCTATCACGTCTGCAAGGCAAGTGGTGTGCTTGGCCTCGCAAGGCCGGAGTATCCACTCCTCGCAGCCGGGAGCCTAGGGAAGAGCAGCTGATTCCGGTGGTTAAAGGGGGGGTTTAGGGTTCAGGGTATACCTTAACCAAGAAGGACCTACCATTTTAAGGACCTATATACAGAAATCATAATAAAGAACCCGAAAAAGGCAGGCAGGCTATTCAGGGCTAAGGTAGAGCTTAGGGGTTAGGCTTCCGTTGTATAGGGCTTAGGGCTTATAGGGTTCATAGGGTTTATGAACAAGTGATTTCCGGTGGTCAAAGAGGGGGTTTAGGGTTTAGGGTTTAAGGGTTTCATGGTTTAGGGCAGGAAGGGGGGGAAGGACAGCTCTAGGGGGGTTTAGGGTTTAAGGGTTTCAGGGTTTAGGGCTTATAGGGTGAGGAAGGACAGCTCTGGGGGGGGGTGTGGGTTAGGGTTCCGGTGTATAGGGCTTAGGGCTTATAGGGTTGATAGGGTTTAAGAACAGGTGATTTGCGGGGGTCTAGTGGGGTTAGGGTGTGGGGTTCAGGGTATAGGGTTTATAGGGTTTACAGGGCTTATAAGGTTTAAGGTTCAAGGGATAGGGCTCAGGGTTTATAAGGCTTATAGGGTTTAGGGTATAGGGTTTAGGGCATAGAGTTTATAGGGTTGAGGGGCTGGGGTTTATGGTTTAGTGTTATGCTTTTAAGCTTTGCGGAAGTTGTGCATTTAACTTTGGCATTCGTACTCCTCTGATGTTTCATACCGAGTTTGCAGTGCTAGTGGGACGAATGCATTATTCAATCTCATGTTGATGCAGCACGTATTTAGGTTGCCTCAAGGTCGCTACTATGTGCCGCAGCTTGCTGTCCTCGAGGTCGAGGTGCTGTGCCACCCATCGGCTCCATAGTAGTTTCTTTTTGGGATTACCTTATAGGATTCTAAATATGAACCCCAAAAAGGAACTACTATGGAGCCTACGGGCACATCCATCTTCATCTGGATCAACACGTCCAAGCAGAAAGCGCAGCCTGGACCCCCCTCGACAACGACAAGCGATCTGGTGCTTGCAACGTGTTTAGGACTCCCGAGCTCAATCGGTCCTGACAGCGTGTGAACCAGGAATGATCGACCGTGGCCAAGGACTGTCAAAGGAACAAGCTCAGATGCTGGAGACGGGCCGTGAGTATGATCTCGTTGAATTGGCGTCTTGTATGTGGCCGGCGGATGGGGAAGGCTTGCAGGGAGTCCGAAATCAGAAAAACGTCCGTGCCTTGGTGGCGAGCGCCAGGTTTTTCTCTTGCAAGTCGCGGATCTCCTGCAGGCCCCGATGACCCAGTTCCGTGCCATGTGAGTGTACAGCTCAATGTCCTTCACCTCGTCGAGGCTGTCGTTCCCTGCCAAGATGATGTGAAACCCTAACAAACTAATGCACAAATCTTCTACACGACCCTCTTCCCAGAAATCCTAAAACCGTGATACCTTAAACCCTCAGTCAACCCTGAACCCTAAACGGAACCCAACTTCCTCAGCACCAAAGCCACGCAGGCCCATCCGGGGGCCCCCGGCAGTGACATCGGCGCCTTGCTGGTAGAAAACCACCTGAGCTACTTGGAGGCCCAGACAACTTAGTAAGTTGGTTATAAGTAGGGTTATAATTGGGGTAACTCCATTTAGGGGACTTATAACTCTACTTATAATCTACTTACTAAGTCCCCCCTCCAAGTAGTTGTGCTGGAGGTTTGTGGGGCTGCATGGGTTTGGTGATAGAGTCTTGCCACGTCTTGGTGATCGTGTTTAGGGTTCCGTAAAGTCTTTTTAGGGTGTAGCGTTTAGGGTTTAAGGTTCAGGGTTGTTTTTGTGACCCACAGTCTCGCCTGATAGTCTTGCATTACAATTTGTTGCAAAATCCCCTTGTGAGCTGCAGGATTTGGGCATTTTGGGGTCTAAAGTTTCGAAAATTGGGCCTGCACGAGGAGTTGGTGAGCTTCAGGGGTTTAGGATCCGGGCTTTGAGGGCTCAGCTTTGGAAACTTTCGGTGCAAAAGGGTTCAGGGATGCAGGGTTCGGGAAAAGACTTGGGGGTGGGGTTGGGGCAGAGGACAGCTGCGCTTCCAGCAGCACTGCAAGCAGAGCAAGACTTTTGCCACGGAACCAACGACAACTCCTGCAACGAACTAGAGAGGCAAGAAGGGGATGAAGAGAACTTCTTGACTGCCACAAAATGGAGACGCTTCGTCCCTTCACTTCACAGTGATATTCAGATAGAATGATATAACTCTTTCTGCAAAAGACCGTAAACCCTAAACCCTAATTACAAACCAGGGACCCAAATTTAGACTTCACCCACAAAGAACCCTTATAGCGCCCTTATAGAAACCCTACAGAAACCCAAATAGATCCCGTTAAGGAACTCTAAAACGGGACCAGTATGCTCTAAACCCTGAACCCTCAACCATAAACCCCAAACCCTAATCCCTAAGGAACTCTAAAAAGGACCAGAGCTACGCGGCTCCAACTTCAAGGAACTCTAAAAGGGACCCTACTTTAAGGCTCAGGGGTCTTAGTAAGTAGGTTATAAGTAGAGTTATAAGTACTGTAAATGGAGTTACCCCAATTATAACCCTACTTTTAACCGACTTATTAAGTCCCTTGGGCCTCTAAATGTTTCAAACAATTACCCAACTCTACTAGAACTCTATTGTAGATCTCTTATAGAACCGTTTAGAAGGAATCCTAAAAGGAACGTATTCTAACTGCTAAGGCCTCTTTAGAGGGGACCCTAATTTCAGAGAACTACCCAACTCCTTCGGAGGCCTCCAAAGGTGGGATGAAGGTAGGTAGGATTGAGGATCCCTTACATAAGGACTCTTATTTGGGAATATCCCACCTTCTAGGATACCCAGTAACCTAAGAATAAAAAGGCCTCTCTTTTTGGTATTGGGTAACTTTATAAGGAACCTAGGACACAAAAAGGGAATAAGGGTACTACTGGGCATCCTAGAAGAGGAGACAGAGGAGGTAAAACCCAGAGACGCCAATATCCCTTAATTAAGGACTATTCCTTAAGTCATATTAAGGATCCTACTTTAATTTAAGGTATATTCCTTAACTAAGGGGTATTGGAGTCCTTCATCCCACCTTTCGAGGCCTCTGACTACTGAGATCGGCACGGAGTGTTGGCAGGAGCGGTTTTCGATCTCGAAGGGCCACTGTCCCCTTCGAGGCTTGGGGTTCCAGGGCTCCAACGGGGGGGGTTTAGGCTCTAGGGTGTACTAGGATTTAGGGTTTAGGGGTTTAGGGTTGAGGGTTCTAGGGGCTTTAGGGTTTTAGGGTTGAGGGCTTGAGGGATCATGGCGAGGTTTAGGGTGGAGGGTTTGAGGGATTGGGGTGTAGGGCTTGAGGGGTTTGGGTTTAGGGTTGGGGTTTAGGGTTGAGGGTTCCAGGGGCTTTAGGGTTTTGGGGTTGAAGGCTTGAGGGATCATGGCGAGGTTTAGGGTGGAGGGTTTGAGGGATTGGGGTGTAGGGCTTGAGGGGTTTGGGTTTAGGGTTGGGGTTTAGGGTTGAGGGTTCCAGGGGCTTTAGGGTTTTGGGGTTGAAGGCTTGAGGGATCATGGCGAGGTTTAGGGTGGAGGGTTTGAGGGATTGGGGTGTAGGGCTTGAGGGGTTTGGGTTTAGGGTTGGGGTTTAGGGTTGAGGGTTCCAGGGGCTTTAGGGTTTTGGGGTTGAAGGCTTGAGGGATCATGGCGAGGTTTAGGGTGGAGGGTTTGAGGGATTGGGGTGTAGGATTGAGGGTTCGAGGGATTGGGGTGGAGGGTTGCGGGTTTGAGGGTTTAGGGTTTGAGGGATCAAAGTTTAGGGTTGAGGGTTTTTGAGGATTCGGGCTTAGGATTGAGGGTTTGAGGGGTTGAGGCTTGGGTGCTTTTCAGCGACATACAGGTGCAGCAACTTCAAGGCATTAACCTGAAGGGACCGACCGCTTCCCCGATCACTCACATGATGGATAAGGTTTAGGGTTTGGAGGTGGCATGCCACTACTTAACTCGTGAATCGTCTGATGCCCTGCCGCGCAGAAGCTACCGCTGCTAAGAATGATTACCTCCTGTAGCCTGATTCGAAAGCTTTGCAGATGGTGCCCCCTGGCGTCCTTCGGTATCGTAGTGGCGCTGACGGAATGTTTAGGCCTAGGGTTAGTTTGGGGTACGGGTGTGGGCTTAGCACTTAGAGTTTGACTTGGGTTTGAGGGTCTGGGGATTATCGTAGAAGCCAGAAAGTTGGAACATCATTACCCTCATACCCTTAAAGTATAAGGGATCCTAGCACTAATCCTGCTAAAAGTATGCTCCAACTTTCTGGCTTCTACTATACGGTTTTTGTTTTCGGGTCTAGGGTGTCGAGTTTTGATCAGACAGGGCTTTTCTCCTGCAAGCATGTACCTTAACCCACCAAAGCCTACCTTTTTGTAGGGTCCCTATAAAATCCTTATCAAAGTCTAGAATTAAAAGAACCTACAAACAAGTAGGTTTTGGTAGGTTAAGGTAGGTTTTACGGTTCCAGCGGGTAGGGAGCTCGGGACAACAAAGACTGCCTGAAGGTCTCTTTTAGAATGCCTGAAGGTCTCTTTTCTGTGCTTTTGTAAAAGCTCTATGGGGGTGTTGGGGGGCTTAGGGTTTCGGAGCTTAGGGTTGACTGTTTAGGGTTTTGGGGTTAGGGTTCAGGGTTTAGGGTTTTGGGGTTTAGGGTTCAGGGTTTAGGGTTTAGGGGGTCGAATGTTGAAGGTCATGTGCACCCACAACATCCGACTCAGTACAGCTAAGAGCTTGGGTGTAGGGTTCGGGTACATCACAAAAAGAGACTATACCCCCCTTAGAACCATAATGAACCCCTAATATTCTTAATATTCTCTTGGGTTTTAAATGAACAGAAACAAAACAATAACCTTGCGTGCGCGTTGGCGAAGCTCATAGCGGTCACCTGCAAGGGTGCCATGCCAGACCGCACGCACCAAACTCCACATGAAGGACGGACGCAGCAGCCCCTCCAGCAATTCTGGCGGGAGGCTACCCAACCGCTGTTGGGCAACTCGCCTCCACTCAGATGTTGTGAACAGGAGCATGTCTGCCAAAGTGGTAGGTACTGCCGGTGCAGCAACGCCAGTGTCCAGGCATGCCGCACAGTCTGTGCGGTGTGCTGTGTTGTGTTTGCATGCGCAAGTTTTGAGACTCGCAGGGAATCTGCACGGTTCTGTGCTCATATGCAGCAGCCGGTCGGCCAAACTGCTTGAAACATAAACTCTGTGCGATCACGTGCCTGAAGTTCATCACTAAACCTAGGTTAGAAGCCAGAAAGTTGGAAATTCATGCTCCTAATGCCCGTGGAGTAACGGACAGGGAATCCCAGAAAGAATCATCCAAAATCCGTGTTCCAACTTTCTGGGATTCACTATACTTTAACCCACCAAAACATACTTTTTGGTAGGGTCCCTATAAACTCCATATTAGGGTATATAATAAGAACCTACAAGAAGAAGTGGGTTTTGGTAGGTTAATGTCTGTCACAGAATTACCCAAATCCTAACCTGCATAACTACTATCCCAAAACCAAGTACCTAGTTATTGGGTCCTTCTGTTGATGGACAAAATCCTGCATTACCCATTACAATCCTATACCATAGTTCCCATAGTTTAGAGTCCTTAGGGTAATGTAGGATTTTGTCCATCAGCAGTTTGGACCCTTGGGGTTAAGAATTAGAATAGGGTTCCTAAAAAAGGGTTCCTTAAAAAGGGTTCTATAAAGGGTTCCTTTGAAGGGGTCTACAAGGGTAATTCTCAAATCCCAACACCTCCGAACCTCAGCGCCTCGAGAGGATCAGAAACAGAGTGGCCCCATCCAGCTGGGTTGACACGCGCACCTCGGAGTTTCACACACACACACACATATATATATATAGATGTGTGTATATATATATATATGTATGTGTGTACATATATATGTATACAACTATATGATATGTGCGCACATACTCTTTAGTTACGTACTGACTCATTTACTTGACTATACATCCAGCTACATAGCGCATCATGATTGGTGTTGTTATTATTGTCGTGGTTGTTGTTGCTGGTCTATATAAGTTTTTCCTCAGCGTCCAGAAGCTACTTAAAGGGTCAGTGTGCTTGGTGAGTAAGCTCTAGCTGTCCACTGCTGTAACCTATCGTGGGACTATCCTAACCACCGAAATACAGGGATCAGAACCGGATTGTGGAGTGTATTCGTCTATAAGCATACCAAGGAACCCCCCCAAACCCTATTCAAGCTATTCGGGACCCTGCATTGGCTTCCGTACCTCTTGTCGAAGCCACAAGGGCCTTCAAGCAGGGGGTGCTCAAGATCAAGGTTGCCTTCGAGCCCCACCCGTCCACACATGCGCCCGAATATCCTCGGCATGACGCAGTCCCAAGCTTTGGCAGTCCCAAGCCCCAGACACTCAGAGGAGGGGCCGGACTGCCATAAAAAGGCTTTTGTATGGTTGAATAGATTAATCGCTAAACCTTCACATCTTTGATTCGACTTTAAGAGTCTCTGTACAACTACAAGAGTGGATGCACAAATGGTCTCAGGCCGTTTCCAATCTCGGGGTACTCCGTGCACATCCTAAACTACTATTTGCTTAAGAAACCCCCAAAAAATAAAAATAATAATCCCTATATTACCCTCCATAAGGAATATTTTTTTTTTTTATTTTTGGGTGTTCTTAAGCAAATAGTAGTAAACAAGAACCAAGCCTGGGTTTTAGGTGGTTCTTGGGTTTCAAGATTCGGAGGCCTCAAAAAGGTGGGATGAAGGTAGGTAGGATTAAGGATCCCTTATATAAGGACTCTTATGTGGGAATATCCCATCTTATTTGGGAATACCCTTATTTGGGAATATCCCACCTACCTTCATCCCACCTTTTGAGGCCTCCGAAAGGTTTTGTCCGGTGTCAGAAACCTGAACATCACGCTTGAAGGATCCTCAAGGGGCACGCACCCTGGCTACTTGGAGGGGCAGGGGACTTAGTAAGCAAGGTTATAAGTAGCTTAGTTGGGGTTGTAAGTAGTTGTAAGTATAGTTACCCTATAGACCCCAGTTACTAAGTCCCATGATCCTTTAAGTAGAGACTCTCAGCACAAAGCTTTAGCCATCATCGAGACACGAGAGTGGTGCCGCGAACATCAAAGACCTTGAAATAAAGCAGAACCCTGAATCTAGGATCCCCAGTAATCCCGCAATAAAAAAGGCCCCTTTGCGGTATTGTCTCGTTAGTTCTATATAGGGAACCTCCTAGGAATCCACTCCGCAGCCAAAGAACCAAGAGGGGTCGGCCATTCAGCCGGGCCAGGGCGACCACGCTGTCACCAACCTGAAAGCTCCGGTAGAGAGCTCATGGAGGGTCCAGGGCCTTACCGTTGGTTAGTAGGGAATGGAAGAATGGTAGTAATAGTAGCTATAATTGTACCCCATTCCTCCATTCCCTACTAACCCAAGGTAAAGGGCTTAGGCTGAAAGGTTCAGGGTTCATGGGTTACGTTTTGGGGCTCAACCCTTCCTGGAAACTCGGATGCCCAGTAACCTAGGAAACAAGGAAAAAAAGGACTCCCTCTTTGGTAAGGGGTAACTGTATAAGGAACCTAGGACTACAAAAAGGGAATAAGGGTACTACTGGGCATCCTAGGAAACGGGATTGTAGCACAAGTTTTGGCTACTTTGTTTTCGTGCCGCAGAGTCCGAACAGAGGATAGGTTGCTCCGAATCATAAACTCTCCGCGCTACTAACCTGCAAAACTACTATCGAAAACCAACATACCTTCCAGCAATGATTGGGTCTGTAGGGAATATTTCGCATTTTTGCTCATATAAAACCCAACAGAATCTTCATAATGAGCATTTTACTGTGGCGGTAAAGGGGAGTATAGGGTAGGTAAGGAAGACGCCCCTGGGCAAACAACCTTCCGGCCGAGATCCCGAAGGTTGCTGCAGGAAGCCTTGACCCTAAACCAATAAACCCTAAAACCCTGAACCCCTTAAACACCCTAAACCCTAAACCCCTGAACCCCTGAACCCCTAACCCCTAAACCCCAAACCCTAAAACCCTGAACCCCTAAACTCTCCCTTACGCTCCTGCTAAGGAGGCCGTACTTAAAGGACCAGGGGACTTTCAGAACTGACAGGCTTCCCCAAAGGGTTCGGGCCCGAAAAGCTCAAACTTTCTACACTCAACCAACCATATGGGAGTTTTCGAAAATTAGGGGTACCTTATTTGCGGGTCCTTATAATAAGGATCCTACTCTTCAGGGTACCTTATTAGGGTCCCCTATTTTCGGAAACTCCCATATGTCGCCATAAAGTCCCATAAAGCTTAAAGCGCGACGTGGAATAAGCTGCGAACCCGGCGAAAGGCATGAGACGAGCTTCGCCCATAAAGTTTAAAGTTGTCTTGTTCCCAAAGGGAACTATGTACCGATAAAGTAGAATCTAGGGTTTCCATATTAGGAATTACTACTCTGACTTAGGGAAGTATCCCTTAGAAGGGGCCCCCACCCCTCACTAGTGGTATCATAGGAATATAATAGGGCCCTAATATAATCCTTATAATCACTATTACAGGGTGGGGGCCCCTTCTAAAGTATCCCCCATAACAGTCCAAAGGATCCTTTGGGTCTCTTATTGGTCAACGAGAGCTTCGGCAGAGCTTTGAGGAGAGGACCGCGGAGAGGGGAATCTGCACCGACCACCTGGCGGGGCATAGGGTGTAGGATTTAGCGTTTAGGGTTTAGGGTCAAGGGTTTAGGGTTAAGGCTGTATCTTGGATGCCTCTTAAGCGTTTGATGGCAAGGATTGTAGTTGCTCTGTAGAGCCACAAAATTGCTACAGCAGGCTGTGTCTTAACATTTACGGCTAGCGCGGCCTTAAACCCTAAACCTTTTAGGATTTGGAGTTGCAGGCTTTTAACGGTTGGTGATATGCTAGAAATATGTACTCCCAACTGCGGATATCTAGAAGTTTTGGCTGTCTCCATAGCAGCTGCTCCTCAACAACCCTAAACCCTAAACCCCTGAACCCCTAAGGCCCAAACAGAGGTTGCAAAACCGAAAACCCCTACAGCGTCGCAGAGGATGTCGCAGTGGCACCGGTACCAATGTTGGGTTAAGCGAAAGTTTAGGCGCCCTAAACACAAGGGTTTCAGAATTTTAGGGGCGTAGAGTCTTCGGGCTTCAAGAGGGACCTCGGTTAGTTGGAGTTACATGTCGAAGGAGTCAAGAGTGCTTGGCTCCAAGTGCATTGTTGACAGAATAGAATATAGGGGCCTTAGCACTTAGAATAGGGTTTCGGGATACATTATACGAAAAACATAATAAGGAACCACCAGAAGAGTACTGGCAACTTTTTAGGCCCCTATATTACATATTCTAAGTAAAAACTTGCTTTGCCAGGCCTGAAAATGACAGGCCGGCCTGACCACGCTTCGTGTTTTCTTTGTTTGCTTCTCTCCGAGCCGCGGGAGGCACCCCTTATAGCCTGGTCCATTCCATCCGTCTGCACAAACAGTATCGCTCGAGGTGATGCCGCCAACGATTCCGACTGAAGTTGTCTCCAAATGCCGGTCTTGCCCTGCAACTTCGATGTGGGAGTTTCCGAAAATAGGGGACCCTAATATAGCACCCTAAAGAGTAGGATCCTGATTATAAGGACCCCCAAAAAAGTTACCCCTAATTTTCGGAAACGCCCATGTGCCGTTTGTAGGCCATTTTAATGGACAGGTCCTGAGGATGGTCCTTCTACCCTAAACTAGCCCTGAATGACCTACCTTTTTCGGGTTCCTTATTATGATTTCCGTATATAAGTCCTTAAAAAGGTAGGTCCTTCAGGGCTAAGGTAAGCTAAACCCCAAATTCGATTATCGAAGCCCGGTACCGTATATCCTCCAGTAGATGCCGGAACATAACCCTGAGGCCTCTCAGGTAGAGCATCGGAATCCCAGAACGAATAATCCTAAGTCCACTTTCTGGGGCTCAATATGGTAGTTTCCGAAAAGAGGGGTACCTTATTTGGGGGTCCTTATAATAGGGATCCTACTATTTAGGGTACTACATTAGGGTCCCCTATTTTCGGAAACTCCCCTTTGAGAATCTGAAGTCTGAGCCCCTGTGACGGAGCTCGGGCTGCGCTACTTCGGGTCGAAGGTGCTGGCGATGGCGAGGATGTAGGGCTTAGGGTGAGTCTTTGACCGTAAACTTAGCTTCTCATCCTTAATATCTAGGCCCTCGAGTCGAAACCACTAAAGCGACACTACGCAAACATTGTCGGCTTCACTACAATCTGAAAACACTGAAACGCTGGTTTAGTGCCGCAGCCGCCTCGTTTCGTCGTCGACATCCTCACAAGCTGTGTCAAAGGATTCAAGCTTCAGTCCGCGGGGCACGTTCTCTCACAATAAAGAGGACTTACACACCCAGGAAGAACTACGTATAAGCAGGAGTACTCGGGCAGAGGTAGGACCGTGCTTGCATTTTAAAAGGAGCGTACGACGGGGCGACAGGGCAATGGGGAGACCTCCCACAGATGCGTGAGATCTATAGAGTTTATAGGGAGTTTAGGGAGCCAAGGGTTGCGATGTTCAGATTAAAACCCTAAGGGTCCAAGTAGTCCTTATTTATGGCTTTTGGTACCTAATAAAGCCCTGAAGTCCAATAATAGGGAGTACTTGGACCCTCTGGGAAAGGGTTCTCATGGTTCGGGCTTTTAGGCTGCACCCATACTGACTGCCTGTAGTCACCAGGCCGGTTCCTCTTTGTGGTTACTTGCTGCCTTTTTGAAAAATAGACCACAGCAAAGACCATAGTGAATACTATAAAGGCCTTAACTGATCAGAACAGGGTTTTGGGGCCCGTTATACTATATTTATAATACGGAACCAAAATAGTACAGGTAGTTGTTGAAGCTTCTATACTAGAGGCTTTGTCCAGGGCTTCTGGGTTGAGGTTTTAGGAACCCATGGGCACTTAGTGCACCGGGAGCGTCTTCTCTACCCTAAGCCTGCAGATTGGCAGCATGAGAAGTAGGCTTCGGATTCCTGATGGACTACTTGTAGGGTCGGAGGACGTAGTAAGTAGGTAGCAAGTAAAGTTGTAAGTACCCTGACAGCGATCCTTTTTGGGGGTCATGGTGCATACAAGTCTATATTTTCGCTACTTGCTAAGCTCCCCGACCCTCCCAGTAGTGGCTCATGTTTCACGATGATGCGCACGCTTGTCAGCATGCTCAGGAAGCCTTGCATGGTTTAAATAGAAAGAAGCAGAACTAAGTGTAGGGTTGTTAGGATGCTACTGCATCTACAATAGGCTCCCTGCCAGGGGGTAGCTTTCAATGGCATGTTTTCTTGTGGGCCACCAGCGGGTGCTGGTCCCTGGTGATTTCAGTAAGGAGGCAGAAGCAAGACGAAGCGTTCACAACCTGCGTTCTCATGGTGCTCGTATATATACATATATACACACACATCTATGTATATATATATATATATATATATATATATATGTATACATACTATGCATGGTCCTAGCTTAAAGGTGGATTGCGGCACTTTGGTGTCTGAATAGACTCTTAGAGTCGCGGAGGCTCTGAGGAGTTATCAATTTGGACAGAAGCAGGACTTCTCAGGAAGTTCCCAACAAACCCTGCAAAATGCTTCAAGATCCTGACTAAGGCATCTGGACATCTATGCGAATAGCATTGCCCTCAACCCCCTAAACCCCGAACCCTAAAACCCTAAACCCTAAAGCCCAAAACCCGAAAACCCCTAAACCCTTAAACCCCCAAACCCCTAAACCCCCAACCCTCCCCCCTCCGCCCCCAAACCACTAAAACCTCCTAACACCCCTGAACCCTAAAACCCCCTAAAACCCCCTAAAACCCCTAAATCGATCGAACCTTTCAGGATCCCGAATTAGGGTCTATAACAACAGAACCTCCCAAAAAAGTTAGGGGTTTAGTAGGCCTGACCCCTAAAAGCCCTCAAACCTAAACCCTAAAAGCCCTAAAATCTTAAAACCCTCAACCCTCTCCCTCCCCTAAGCCCCAAAATCTTAACACCCTCAACCCTAAACCCCCTAAAAGCCCTAAAATCCTAACACCCTCAGCTCTAAACCCTCAAAAGGCACCTAAAGTCTTAAAACCCTCAACCCTAAACCCTCAAAAGGCCCCTAAAATCTTAAAACCCTCAACCCTAAACCTTCTAAAAACCCTAAAAATTCGCAGCCCTCCCTCCTAGGCGGCCTCCTCACCGGGAACGCGCAAGGACATCAACGGCTGCAGCGCGGAGCCATCGTAGTTCATGGCCTCTCCCAAAAGGGTTCGAAGTACCTATATATAGTAGAAGGTATAGGGCTTCTATAAGGGTACTAAGGGGGTTTAGGGTTCAGGGTTTAAGAACTCTAAGTACCTATTATAGTTGAAGGTAGGGTTCTAGATTATGAAGAACTGTTATAGAGTAGAACGTAGGGCTTCTATTTTTGTGAATTGCTAGCATGCCTTACCCAAAGGGTCCTAACTTGCCAAGAAGGGTTTCTTTAAGGGCCCCATGAAGGATTTCATGAGGGTACTACAAGGCTTTAAGGGTTGTCAGTATGGGTTTAGGGTTTCGGGGATAATAATATGGGAGTTTCCGAAAATCAGGGGTACCTTATTTTGGGGTCCCTATAATAAGGATCCTACTATTCAGGGTACTATATTCGGGTCCCCTATTTTCGGAAACTCTCATATAGTAGAACATAGGGTTCTATATTATGAAAAGCTATTTGTATATATATATATATGTATGGTAGAACGCAGGGCTTCTATTTTTGTGAATTGCCATGATGCCTTGCCCAAAGGGTCCTAAGTACCCTATGAGGGTTTCTTGAAGGGCCCATTTAAGGATTTCTATATGGGTACTGTCAGGGTTTAGGGTTTTCAGGCTCCTAAGTACCTATAACTAGACCCAAGAGTAACCTAGGAATAAAAAGGGTGCCCTTTTTGGTTTAAAGGGGCTTATAAGGGAACCTGAACCCTAAAAAAGGGAATAAGGGCCTACTCTGGGTCCGAGATATAGTAGAACGTAGGGTTTCCTTAATGACGCATGCTTTGGGGAAGTCGGCCTTGGTGGAAGTAAGTTAGGACGTACGGTGAAGCTTCAACTGATTAGGGGACCCAAACATAGCACCCTGAATAGTAGGATCCCTATTATAGGGACCCCAAAGTAAGGTACCCCTCATTTTGGGAAACTCCCATATTATTACCGCAGTGCCGGTCACTTGAGACCTGTGCAGTAGTAGATGGTGAAACATACTTTCGGGCATTTGTGTCAATGATGCACTCGAGTACGTCTTTGGATCTCGAGGGCGGTTTGGGAGCTGATGTAGCTTAAAATTCTTGCAAACGCGGTGCGACGATGAAAGGCACTGCCCTAGTATTGCCGCTACACCAACCAGCATTTTCCCGAGACTGTTGCAACCTGGGTTGGGGGAAGGAGTTTGTGGGGCTATGCCCACCAGCTGTTGAGCAAGGAGCTTGACACCAAGCACGTCCATTAACTCCACTCTTCACGCAAAGCCCTGAACTGCTACGTTGCATGCTAGTAAATTATTCAAGATTCCAAGAATCGTCAGAGGAGAGCAAGCATACCATCCAACCACCACGTACTATAACCAGAATCATCATAGAGAAAACATGAACAAGCTTGCTACATGAACTATTCCTGAGCGTGACATGGGAACTTAGCAACGAGAAAAGTGTTTTGGATGATATTATGATATCAATCGGTATCATCAGGCACACTGACTGAGGACTACGTATTGCAGGTTGTGCCGTTTCTTAGTGATATAGCCCGGGGCGGCGTGCCCAAGCGCTGTTGGCGGGGATGGCGCCGATCGAAAGTGAGTCGCCTGCTGTGCGGCATCTGCCTAAACCGTTTGAGCCGTGACTCGAAACCCTAGTACAGGGTTGTTACCTAGAACAATTAGGATTCCTGGAAGGCCTCTTTCAACGAATCAACGGGCTCTGCAACAAAACTATGTGATTTCTACTCCATTAAGGTTGCTATTCGGTTCTTTGCAAGGGCCTCAATAACTAGCATAGTGTTTCGGCGTATGTTGCGCTATGCTGGGAACAATCAGGCCCACCCAGGAATCTACATTACATGTAGCACATAAATCTGAAAGCTTTCTGTGAATCTTGCAATTGAGGATGCTCGGTTCGGAGGAAGACTAGGATACCCACTAACCCAAGAATAAAAAGGCCTCTCTTTTTGGTATTGGGTAACTTTATAAGGAACCTAGGACTACAAAAAGGGAATAAGGGTACTACTGGGCATCCTAGAAGAGGAGACATGGTAGGTAAAACTCGAACTACTTACTGCACAGCAACCATCGCAGAAACTGCCCTACCTGCGACACTCCTTACTTGCAAAGTCCCTGGGACCGTTCAGTACTGTTGGTGGACAAAATCCTGCATGACCCTAAGGACTCTAAATATGGGAACTATGGTATATTCCTTATAAAGAATAATGCAGGATGTTGTCCATCAACAGCGTCGTTCTTTTCGATACTGTGCCACGCTTGATCAAAGACTCGAAGCAGTCTCTGGCTGAACCCAAGTCCCAAACCTTATAAGCTGTAACCTAAGGGTTTAGGGCTCAGGGATGCTCAGGGTTCTTTTTGAGGGTTTAGGGTAACTGATTTATTTTAAAGGTTTAGGGTTTAGTTTTGCTTTAATAAGGGTTTAGGGTTCCTCAAAACAATGAGATTTCTGTGGCGCTTTGCTGGCTGCGTCATCTCGCGCCTAGGAGTAGAGTAGGTCGCCTTCAGCCTTGGGGGGTACGAAGCTTCCCCTACAAGTCCAGACAAGCGGGGTGAGTGGTGAAAGTTTCAAGGCCCCATTCTATTAAGTCTCCAAGGGGAAAAGGAGGGACCCTTAATGAGGCCCCCTAGGTATATACCCTTAATATAGCCCATTATAGGGTAGGGGTCCTGATTATGGGTCCCTCCCTTTACCCTTGGAGAATCATGCCCCAGGCTATCAGGAGTGCCTGGGCCGGACCTAAGAGGACACAAAAGCGCTGGGGTCACGTCTGGGAATGGTCAACCCCTACACCCTGTTAGGCACACTCTACTATTTAGTCAACCCCCAAAGCCCAATAGCAGAACTACCTACCCTAAACCCTAAACCCTAAACCGACCAGCCGGCCTGGCTGGATGGCTGGATTGCGGAAGGCGCGCGCATCCTATCAGGGGTTTTCGTATGTTTTTTGTATTGTCAGGGCTTTCAAACCCTAGACCCTAAACCCCACTACGCCTGAATCAAGGAGTACACCTGACATCATGCGAAAGATCTCCCAGGAGGGTCGATGATTACTAAGTTCGGTCTTCAAAGCCATGATTAGGACGGTCTTCTCGGGCCGGATGCTTTTATAGTAGTGTATGTCTATATATATATATATGTATATGTAATACATACATACATATTTACACATGTACATACGGACGATGGGGGCTCTGTAGTGTTAGGAGGGTGAAGCGATGACACAAGTCATACATCCTCGTCGAATCAAAGGCTGAGGATGCTCTGTTGCTCCACCCGAGAGTTGCCATATCTCGCAGGAAATCAATCAGCAATGAAAGCCATCCGTCCAGGGAGGCTTCCTGCACAAGTGCACCGGTAGCCGTCTTGTCGTCCTGCGCCTTCACTCCCCGCTCGGCATGCCACACCTCGTACAGGGTGGTCCACCTGTCATGGGGATACTCCGCTCGGAGTTCGAGCCATTCATGCACCGGAATGCATCGCAGAAACAGTGCCATATGATCATCGTTCTCCGTAGGCTCTTTGATGAACTTCGAAATGTAAGCCATAATTCCTTAACTAGGCTAAACTATCAACACCATCCTAAATTGCGTTGTCCCTGCAAAATCTTTATTAGGGTTTGCAATAAGAACCTACAGAAAGTAGGGTATGGTAGTTGAGAGAGGTTCAAAGTATTAAGTATTCTTGAAGCTCAAGGGAAACCTCAAACCACTGAGCTGCACACCACACCACGCCACCCCACACCACTCACTCTTAGCCGTAGGGCAAAGCCGTCAAACAAGCACCCAACAGTCCAACAGACCAGTAGTTGGTACCGGACACGCCAGATGATGTTGAGGGAATAGACTCGACGAACATACTTCAGTGCTACTTGAATCACCTTGACACTTGCTATCCTGCGAGGCGTCTGGCGGTGGATCTTCTACACTGGAAGAATCCCGACTGCCGACTGGAGACAAGAACACAGCTAACAAAGGATATGGCGCAAATTCTGTATTCGCCTCGACAAACATGACCTCCCCACCAAGCCCTAAACCCTCAAGCCTACTAAAAGGACCATGGGACTTAGTAACTCGGGTTAGAATTAAGGTAACTATACTTATAACCGCAGTTACGGTACCTATAACCTTACTTACTAAGTCCCATGATCCTCCAAGTACAGCCCGAAAAGCGTGTGACCTTAACCCCCAAGTAGCCCCATCCTCTGTAATGGAACCCCTATAGATCCCTTTAAAGGAGCCCTTTAAGGAACCCTAGTTACTAAGTCCCATGAACCCCAAGTAGCCCCATACTCTGGACCCTAAGCTCTCAACCCTGAACCCTGAAGCCGACACCTTGAACCCCAAAGCCTACCTTAACCCTGAATAACCTACGTTTTGGGGGTTCCTTATTATGATTTCTTTATATGCATCCTTAAAAATGTAGGTTCTTCGGGGTTAAGGTAAACACTGCACCGTGCACCCTAAACTTGCCAGGAATCTTGATGGAGTGGTTCAATGATCCAGGACTGCAGATACGTGAAGCTCTCGGAGTAAACACCGTTTGTGTAGCTGCTTGCTGTTCAGGGTTTAGGGTCTCTATAGGGTTTATGGAGTTTAGGGTTCAGAAAGCGTTGCGGGTTCAAGGTTGGAAGAAAGACAGGACACGCAACAACAGCCCTGAACCTCAACCTTACACTTTAAAGCTCCAGACAAGGCTATTGCGTTCAGGGTCTAGGGTCTACCCAGACTGAACTGCACCTACACGTGGATATCGTATTTCCCAGCCAGCGATCCCCCTAGGATAAGAAAAGACCCTACGGTTCCATAGTAGTTTAGGGTTTAGGGGTTAAGGGTTTAGTTTAGGGGTATGGGGGTTTAGAAATTAGGGGATTACCTTATACGAGTGTAAATATGAACCCCTAAAAAGGAACTACCATGGAGCCTCAGGGGTAAGGCCACCAACAAAAAGTGTTACAATCTGGGGTCTACCCGGACCCTAACCCTGAGGCTCAAAATAGCCCAAAGGCCTTATATAGTATGGTCTTTGGGCCCAAAAGCCTTAAGATATGAGTCCTTAGAGCCTAAGGGTAAAGAACCAACCTGGTTCAGGACTTAACTATACAAGTAGAAATCCAGGAAATCATGATGCGAAACCCCAAACACAGTCGGTTATTGAGAGTTTCGGTGTAGAGAATATAGAGAGAGGTCGCGTCGTTTTGATAGACTCTTCAGGCACCTCGCTCGTGGTGGCGGTCTCCTCCGACCATTCACCTCGAATATGGAGCTGAGGATCAGGTTTGGGGGGCCTGGGTTGAACCCGGAGACTCCAAAACTCCATAATTGAGGAATATACCTTACATCTTGTTAGGGATCCTACGATAATCTGAAGTAAACTCCTTAACTTGGAGTTTTTGGGATCTCTGGGAAGTAAAACTTGATGTTGAGGATGTGAAATTGTGGTTCGGGCGACTCTGTAGAAGGTAAGCAATACTGAATTTGTGGAGATCCCGATGAAAGAAACCAGAAACCAAACAAGGAACACGCCAAAAAGGACACAAAAACGCCTGAAACCTACGGCCATGAACCCTTTAAGGAACTCGAAACCCTCAACCTTCGCCGTTTTATCTTCAGACTTAAAGCAGAAAGCTCTGAGTTCTGAAAGATGGAATTCAGAAGTCGAGGAGATGCCTCGGCTCGACGTAATGTAAAGGCCCTAATAATTAGAATAGGGTTTTTGGGGCCCATGAAACAATAAAAATAAAAAGGAACCCCCCAAACTAGTATAGGTAATGATTCAGGCTTCTGTAGTGCGTTTCTGCTGCTTTTTTTTTTTGTTGTTGTTGGGGGTGGGGGCGGGGGTGGGCCTTGTTGGGTTTAGGGCTTACGGTGTATAGGGTTTAGGCTGAGGGTCGTTCAACATTGAGTTGAAAGGGATACCGCAGCTTAATGCAGTATCATGCATTTACAGGGACTGGAAGGCGATAGTAGTACTATAGCAGCCTTAATAATTAGAATAGGGTTTTGGAGCCCATTATACTATAATAATAAGGAGCCCCCAAAATAGTATAGGTAATTATTGAGGCCCCTATTTTACTCAGACCACGGTATTCGACACCGAGAAATCGACGTGTCCCTGGGCTTTGGCTTTGGATTTGGGGACCCTAAGCCCCGAAAGCCATAAAGCACGAGACCCCAAGGCATACACGTGGAAGCCCAGTCCTTGAAGCCCAGTTCGAACTTCGAACCATCGGCACCTACAGCAGCCCTCCTGTGAATCATGTATAGGGTTCTGAGGCCCAATATACTATAACTATAATAAGGAAATCCCAAGATAGTATTGGTAGTAATTTAGGCCCCTATCTTATTGAATTTCGATCGTAGAGCTCCGAGGGAGAGCCCTTTAAGGCCAAAGCATGTGGTGGCAACTGGACCCGGGAACAGCCACACGTTTGGGGCTCCTCAACATGATTTTCATAAGTACGACCTTCAGACGGTAGGTTTTTTGTGGGGTTAAGGCACATACTATATAGGTGCATGAACCCTGGATTAGGGTTTAGGGCTTATGTCGAAACACCCCCACCCTATATCGCGCCGTATACTTGTATATGCCCAAACTAAGTTAACAGGTCACCCAGCTACGACAAGATTCTAGCGCATGCCTTAAACAAGTAGCATTCATTGTGAGGACCACCCACCTCCAAAACAAACCAACACAACATATACTCAGAGTCGCAAGGACAAGCCAGCTTCAACACTACTAAACGGTTACCCCCCAGTAAGGAAGCCCTAAGCCCTAAGTCATACTGCTGATGGACAAAATCCCGCATTACCCATTATAAGGAATATACCATAGTTCCCATAGTTTAGAGTCCTCAGGGTCATGCAGGATTTTGTCCATCAACAGTAGGGTTCTGGGTTTAGGGTTTTACGTCCTTACACCAAAGGCTCCTAAAACCGCCCCAAACACAACCTTTGTGACACAAACACAAAACCCCAGACTGCTTTAATGTTTAAGCGCTACCGATAAGGTCAGACCATGCCCCGCTTTTGGGGTACCTCGTGTTCTATATACCAAACCCTATAAAACTAGGTACCCTGAAAAGGTGCAGGGTATGACCCTAGAATGGCTGTGCTAAACCCTAAACCCCTGAACGTGAGAAAAGGCAGCTAGTGTAACTAACCAGCTGTTTTGGGGGCTCCCTTGGCTCTTTAGCTCCTTATTTGATACGGATGATCATCATCCCTGGTTCCTTAGCTCCTCCAATATCAACGGTTAGGTAAAGCTGACCATGCCGGGGTCAAAGCTCTCTGCGGAATCACGGTGCTGCCACAATAGCGCCCCCTTGAAAACGAGAGTGCTTACAAGTGCTCTTTCAAGGCGTTGCTAGATTTCGGGTTTGGGGTTCGAGTTCTAAGTGTCCATGTCGAGAATGGGGTTTTAGGGTCTGCAGTTTGAGGTTTCTGGATTTAAGGTTGTAGCAGCACATGGTATGGGCGTGTATGGCTTCCGGGTTTCATTTCTTACCTCCAATACCTTTGACACAGACTTTAGAACTCTTTGTGAATACACTACTTCGACATGGTGCTTGCAAAGCCTCGGGTTCAAGGGTTCAGCGTTCGGGTCGCCTTTTCAAGTGTAGGGTTCTTCAAGGGTCAGGGCTGAGGGTTTAGTATGCTTATGAGGCTTGCGCTCACCATGTGAGAAGGGTAAATGTTTAAAGTTGATACTTCTTGTGTTTTGAGCTAACGTAGGAACATACGGGGCTGAATGATTAGAATACAGTCATGGTGTACATTATATTTAAACAAATGGGAAGTGATGTCCACTGGGCCGGACACGCCGAAAGCCCAAAGCCTGAAGCAATAAGCCCATAAACCATTCTGTCCTAAGCCTGAACACAGCCCAAAAGCCGGATGTACTACCTTGACCTACCATAAGGGGGTTTCCGAAAATAGGGGACCCCAATATACTACCCTAAATAGTAGGATCCTTTGGGACCCCAAAGAATGGTATTCTTATTTTCGGAAACTCTCATAACGGACTTTTTGGCAAGTTCTTATCAAAAGGGTAGGAAATTAAGGTATGGTCTTCGGGGCCAAGAGCCTAAAATTGTGAATCCTTACTTGGAGGATCATGGGACTTAGTAAGCAAGGTTATACGTACCTTAGTTGGGCTTATAAGTAATTATAAGTAAAGGGAACTCCAGAAAGTTGGAATATGGCTTCAGGGTAAGATACCTTATAATTTATAATTTACCATAAAGGGTTTAGGATAATCATATTCCAACTTTCTGGCTTTTACTTTATAGTTACCCTAAATAAAACCCTAGTGACTAGGTGCCATGATCCTTTAAGTAGAGCCTTAGGGCTGGGATTTGGGGTGTTGGGTTTGGGGCTTAGGGCATAAACATCGCACACCGCACAAAAGGCCGAAACCCATAAATCCCCAAGCCCCAAAGCTCAAAACCCTCTTAATTTCTATCCCACCCCTTTTAAGGCTCCTTATTATGGTTTCCTCGCACAAGTCCTTGTAACAGCTATGTGATTTGGGCCACCGGTAAGCCCTAAACCCCTAATTACCCTGCACCCAAAATTTCTGGCATGTCCGTGTGCCTAAACCCTACTTAACGGATCGTGGGATTTAGTAACTAGGGTTAAAAACTAGGGTAACTATACTAATAACTACTTATAACCACAACTAAGGTACTTATAACCTTACTTACTAAGTGCCATGATCCTCCAAGTAAACCCTAAACCCTAAGCCCTAAACCGTGAACCCTTAAAGGTACTCTAAACGTAACCCTAAACCCTGTAGCCTTCTCCCCAGACTCGCAGAGACGGACTTCTCCGGCGGCTTCCCCCAATCTGGTGACCTACGCTTTAGGCTGGCGCAGGGGGTTTTAAGGGTTTAGGGTTTTGAAGTTTAGGGGTTTAGGGGTTTAGGGTTTAGGGCTGAGGCCACTTTTTGGGTCTAGGCGCCTACTAATTTTTGGGGAGTTCCTTATGATAGTGTACTATAATATAGCCCCAAACCCTGCTCTAATTGTTTGTACGGCTCCCTCGAAATGCCACCTTGGGGAATGTCTCCTCGATGCGAGACAGAAATCGGATTGCTTGATCATCTCCTGAACCGACGAGATCCGAGGATTCTGGTAAGTGGAACGTATCCGCAAACACATCACCTCTTGAATCTACGTGCCAATAGGCCTGCCGTTGCCCCTCGCAGAGCCTTCCCGTCCCCGCGAAGGATGATCTCCAATTGCTCTTGATCCATTCAGCCCTCTCTTCTTCCGGCATGCTTGCGAGCATGTCTCGTTCCTCGAGCAGCTGGGACCTGTGCGCTAATGCCCTTGACACCGCCCAAGAGCGCTTCTCAGCAGGCGTCATTTTGCTGACTTGTCGAGAGGCTTATAGTTCTATAATATGGACCCAAACCCTGTTCTAATCAAAACCAGGGCTCCTAAATGGGAGTTTCCGAACATTGGGGCCCCCCTAATATAGTACCCTAAATAGTAGGATCCTTATTATAAGGACCCCAGAATAAGGGTACCCCTAATTTTCGGACACTCCCATATCATGTTCTCTGTACTGCCCCATCGTAAGCGGCTACGAGCGCGGATCTCCCCAAGACTTCCTCCTATCCAGCCGAAAGCCCCCTAAACCCTAAACCCTAAACCCTAAACCCTAAACCCTAAACCCTAAACCCTAAACCCTAGGGTTCCTTTAAAAGGATCCCCGGAAGCCCTAGGGTTCCTGTAGAGGGACGCCTAAAGTTCCCCTATCCTAACATACTTAAAGGCAGAGGGTTCCTTTAAAGGGGTCTACAAGGGCTACAAGGGCCGGTATAGGGTTTAGGGTTGAGGGGTTTAGGGTTTACTTGGAAGGGCAGGGGATTTAATAAGTCGGTTGTAAGTAGGGTTATAGTTGGGGTACCTCCATTTAAGGGACTTATAACTCTACTTATAACCTGCTTACTTACTCCCCTGGGCCTCTAAGCAGACCCTAAACCCTAAACCCCATAGATCCCTTTAAGGAACCCTTTAGGAGCCCTTTTAAGGAACCCTTACAAAGCTACTTACTAAGTCCCCTCTGGGTCTCTCAGCAGGCGCCTAAATAATTACCAGTACTCTCTGGGTGGTGCCCTACTATACCCAAGACCCTAGTCTAACTTTAAAGGCCCGGAAGTTCCCAAAACCCTAGTCTAGCTATGAAGGCCCCGAAAATAAGCCCTAAACCACTGCGCGGTACAACTTACGGACTCTTTGTGTCTTAAGGACCCATATGGCGCCCACACTAGGAGACCCGGGGTGCTGTTCCTTAAACCTAAACCAGCTTTATAGCGTCATCATGACCCAAGAAGCTACGGCATGGGTAGCTGGACACCTCCAAGGGTTCTGCGAAACAAACAAACCAGTTGAAGTTTCATCCTGAAGCCGAACGAACCCTAACACCACACCCTGGAACACCCCAACGTCTAAACCCATGCTATACTGTTGATGATATAAACCCTGCTTCAGCTTAAGAACCCTAAACTATAGGAGTTTATGATGCATATTCCTTATTATGGGTAATACAGGATCTCTACCATCAACCAAATCACTGTACAGCTCTTCAAGTCTTCACGATCCAGGAATCATGCCCAAAGCACATCAAGCCCGCGACCTAAACCATCAACTGTCTGCTGGGATTCCTTTTCAAATTTGGCAGCTGCAAGCCTCACCAGCTCTGAAACCCAAGTGCTAACGCTACCTGTCATCCTCCCCAAGCGGGAGCTTCCGAAAATCAGAGGTACCCCTATTTTGGGATCCTTATTATAAGGATCCTACTATTTACGGTACTACATGAGGGCCCCCTATTTTCGGAAACTCCCAAGTCTAGCTGAGGGTGCAAAACTGTGCACTCTTCCTTACTTCCCGAAACCCTAAACCTCTACAAACCCTAAACCCTAAACCTCCCTCAACCCTAAACCCTAAACCCTGAACCTCTACAAACCCTAAACCCTAAACCCACCAGAACCGACCTCTCCAGTGAGAAAGCCCTTCGAGATACGCAGCACGCCAGAGACCTCGGCGACGGGTAGTATCTTCCCTGACCCGTAAACTTCCAATATAGGGGCCTTAGCAAGTAGCGGCTGGTTTGGGGGTATTACTCAGCAATCCTACGGAACGGCTGATATTATTGGTACCTATATAGAGGCTTTTGAAGCAGGGTCCTGTCGTGTTCGATTTGAGGGTTTGAGGTGTAATGTAGGAACCTTAGGAAACCCTGGGTCTCTAACAGAAAAATAATCGGATTCATTTAAGGAACCCTGGTAAAGGCCCAGGGTTTCTTAATCAGATTCCTACAGTACTCTGCTAGGTGGGTCTTTTGAAGAAATGAAAAATATTGGTAAGTAAGAGCCCTACCCAGTCTGCCACCCAGAAGCTCAAACACTAAACCCAAGCTCTAAACGCACGAAGGGCCTCTCGGTGCCCTAGAGAAGCATACACCCCAAAGCTTAAAGCCCTAGAGCCCCCATGCCCCCAAATCATGATCAAGAGTCCGACTTATTGGAGAGTTTCGGTTTTAGGGTTTTAAGGTTCAGTTCAATAACCAAACAAGTGAACTACGTTGGAGACTACAGAAGAACCCCCTAAGCCCCAAATCCCCAACACTGCTCAGAAGACACTCACCAGCTTCAAAGGAAGCTGCTTTCTTTTAACGGGCCCCTCAAGAAAGGAAGCTTTGAACCAGCTAGTCCGGTCCCTGGGCGTCTGGCCAAAAGACCGTCCGCATCGAAGCTCTCGTAGAGAAGCCTGGTTCAGGGCTCCTAAGGGCTTGATCGTGGTACATACGGTTGATGATATAAATCCTGCATTGCCTTAAGGACTCTAGACTATGGGAGTTACGTTTATCGCTCATTATGGGTAGTGCAGGATTTATATCATCAACCGTGGGGTTCCTCACTGTACAACACCTTACCCCAGGGGTCCAAATACCTAGCAATCATATACTCTCGAAATCCTAACCTACATAACTACTATCCTAAAACCGAGTCCCTAATTATTGGGTCCTTCGGACCCTGGGGGTTAGTTGCAGTGTCCTTGTGCTGCTCGCGGCTTCTCGATACACTCGGGCATGCAAGCCTTAAGCAGCAAATCGCACACTCTAAACCCCGAACCCCTGTATGTCTACATTCCCTAAACCCTAAACCCCATAAACCCTGAGCCGTATCAGCCCTAAACCCAAAAGCCCATAAACCCTAAACCCTATAAGCCCAAGACCCAAAACCAAACCCTATAAGCCCAAAACCCCAAACCCTATAGGCCCCAAACCCTAAAGGGCCCCCTTGCGAAGGCTGGACATGATCCTGGCTTCGAGAAAGCTCCGAACTTGAAATTCGACACCCCAAACCCTAATGGCTCGATCCGAGAGCTCCAACCCCTGAAGATCCATGTTCGATACACAAGAGGGCTTATTAGGGTTTGCGTTTGGATTTAGGGTTTACGGTTTTGGGTTTTATTCTCAAAAGGCAACAAGTATCGAACTGCAACTCCTGCTCCCGTCTTGCTTGACCCCAAACGGGTTCTCAAGTATTCCCTCTTCCTAAGGGTCAAATGACCCAATAACTAGGTAGGGTTTGGGATAGTGGTTTATATGTTAGTATTTCGCGAGCAAAAAGGTTAGCGGGCACTTAGGCTTAAACCCCAAGGGTGAAGCCAGTACAGAACCTATGCTAAACCTGTCTCATGCTGAGGGCGCAGCGAGTCGTTGTCTGCGTCCAGCAAGCAGCTCAGCAAGTTAAACCTGGGCTTCAGGTTCAGGGTTTAGGGGAAAAAGCTTCAAATCCAGCTTACATACCGTCAGGATCAGGACTCAAAAACAAGAGTGTGGCTTTTGGGTGAGTTTGGGTTTTTAATGTAGGCACCTGATCGCGAAACCCTAGGTCTTTATTAGGGTTCAGCATATGAATCCCCATATTTTGGGGTTGTAGGACCACGATTTCTGAAGGTTCCTATTGCAGGGCCCGAAATATTTACCAATACCAAAAATGGGGGTTCCTCATAATGGTTGTAGTATAATGGGCCCCAAACCTTCCTCCCTGAATCCACGTACCTGTACCCAGACCTTCCAAGATTCCTCAACTAAGTAATATATACCTTAAATCATGTTTGTCCTACTATGATTTCAGGCATGTTCCTTACTTCAGGGGCTTTAGCGTCTCTAGGACCCTGCTCGTACCTCCAAGCCCTTGAGAGTAGGTGTTGAAGGGAAGAGTCGCCGGGTAAGTTTACTCCCAAAGCAGCTCATTCAGGACCACGCCAAAGCCCATGTGAAAGATCCGTGTAGGCTGTGAATTTAAATCAAAAGTTATATTGCTTAGTTTAAGCTCCTTGCGTCTCTGAAAAATCCTTCAAAGGACCCCTTGCACCCGAAACCCTACCTTAAAGGAAGGGTCTTGATAGAGAGAGTTATGCAGCCTTACCCCACAGTGGTTTGGCGGTACACTAACGAATAGCATTTCCTAATTATTTCGACCTCTAGAGTAGAATCCGCATAAACTCCCACAAGCAACCTGGTATAGCGCCCTACAAGTCCCTTCAAAGAAACCTTAAGGAATTCAGACTAACTAGTCAGGCTCCCATAGTACTTCGCGCCCTTACAATCGTAAGACAAAATGCGATTTGTTATAGCCTTACCTTAAGCCGGAAGAACCTACCTTTTTAGGGTCCCTGATTATGATTTCCTTATATAAATCCTTAAAAAGGTAGGTTATTCCGGCTTAAGGTAGGGTTTAGGATTTAGGGGTTTGGGGTTTAGGCCCCCTTGGAATTTGACTGCAACAAGAACAGAAGTCCTAAGAACACCAAAGAATGTGCCTCTTGAAGTGGACTCCGAGGCTTTGGCACTAGCGACGTCGCAGTGCCCTCGACCGGCGCCGCTTTCCAGGTGCCCAGGAGGTGTGCGAACTGCGAGGTTCAAGCGGAGGTTTAGGATCTCTGGTATCCAGATAGCCTTTACTAACCAGTGGTTTTGGGGGTTCCATGGCTCTTTAGCTCCTTATTTAATAGGGATTATCATCATCCCTGGCTCCTTAGCTCCTCCAATATCAATGTTTAGGGTATATAGTATACAGTATAGGGTTTGACTTTGGGGGCTCCTGGGGTTTAGGGTTTCGGGATACCTTGAACTTAAACTTTGAGGGTGTAGAGTTTCAATCCAAACAAGCCTGACCTACTTTGTAGGCACGCGCAGCACCCGAGAGCTTCGACCAAGTCCGGCCCCGAGCACAGCTAAGCAATGCTGGAGCCCATGCAAGACCCTGACCTTTAAACCCTAAACCCCAGACCCCCATAAAGCCCAAAACCAACCAAAACCCCATACCCCAAACCCCCCTAAGGCTCTAAACCCTAAAAACCTTCATAAAGCCCTAAATCAATCCAAGATCCGATAGAGTTTGTCATTTAAGGGATTACGGCGTCACGCCTTTAGGGTCAAGGGCGTCCTGTCTCCGACTGCTCAGGCTAATGGGGAGACCTGAAAAGTAAAGACGCCGCTAGCCTATCAGCAGGGGAATGACAAAGCTCCTTTGAGGATCACTCTGTGTCACGATGGGACGGTGTCTGAGCTCAACGAGACCCCCAAATTCGTATAAAGAGGTTTAGGGTGTTACAGGGGTTTAGGGTTTAGGGTGTTATACTGGTTTAGGGTTTAAGGGGTTTTTGACGTTCAGTGCCTAGGGTTTAGGGTGTTGTAGTAGGGCTATATAGGGATACTATTGCGCGGTACCCTTGCCGAACTTTACAGGACCTTGTACATCTTCGTGGTCTTCTCATAGTCCCCTTTTTAGAGGCCTTGTAGAAATTAATGGTAGAGGGTGTAGCGCGTCGTCACTTACATATTTGGATGCCGTTTTGGAACTCTGAGCCAACGAAGCCCCACCGGCCCATTCCGAAATCCTCAGGCCCAGCGCGCCACGTCCGGGGCTTTCTTGCTGCTGCCACGGCCTGGGTACGAGTTGGGAGCCAAGTGACTGCTAACCGAGAGCAATCTTGCCAATTGTGCAGACTTCTTCATTAGCTGTTAATGAGCTCTTCAGATGCGACCGAATTCGGTCCCAGATGAGGACAGGTGCTTCATAGATTTTGGGGGCTTCGAACTTTGGTTTCAAGGGACAGTGAAGCTTCCACTAAACTTGAAAGCCCCTGTATGCCAAAAGAAGGGGCGTAGGAAGTAGGATCCGTTCTGAAAGCTTCAATGAGAAGCTGTTGCTGCAGAATTCGCACTTCCTGGTCGAGGGCATAGCTGTATTCTAGGGGCCTTCATGATGAAGGGTTGTGGGGGTGAAACTATACCAGGACTAGTAGTTGGTGACTGTTGGTAACAATCAGGCTTTGGGGTAGATTCAGCAATGTCGACAACAAGAACCCCTGAACAATTATGTAATCTTGGTAGGTAGTTATCTAGCTATCTATCTCAGACCACCGTGGCCTTGCCCCGGGAAGACCCTGCTGGTAAGCAGCTCCGTAATGGAGAAATGCTTCGGCTTCGCGGTTCAAGGCTTTAGATTTGGGGTTTGAGGCTTGTGGGGTTTCGGGACTTTGTGGGTTGAGAGTTTTAGAGCTGTAGAATTTTGTTGGGATACGGGTTTTGGGCTTCGGGCTCGAGAAACGTTAACATTACGTGCTGGTTTGCAGTATTAGTCCATACAATCGTTGTTCCGTAGAAGAGCAAGGCAGCGCTGTCACGCAATGGCTGCTTCACGCCGATGGTAACTGTTTCTTTATGCAAGGCCTCCGGAAGACAGCCTTACGCGACAAACAAGTCAGTACGGGGAAGCTCTGTTTCTGGCCCGGCAGCCTAGGTCGGCAACCAACACATGCCTGCACGTCGGAAGTCCACGGCGGCAATATCTTGTTGGTCTGCGAAAATCATGGCTGAACTTATGCTCAGAGCAGAAACTCTTGAGTGCTGAGAGTCCAAGGGTCCAAGCACTTAGTAGTCAGATACTCCGGCAAAAGTCTAAGCTACAAAGCTACTAGCCTAAACCCAAATACCTGATCATTGGGTACTTCGGGCCATTTTGGGAAAGGCTATGGAGGTGAGGTGTAGAGTAGCGACAAACTTTGAACCAGGAGGTCTGCTGTCGCATCAGCACAGGGTACAAGCAACTATGAAGTTGGTGGAAGACATGGCGTTAGGCCCTACCTAAACTGGGAGTGAACTTTGCCCCCATTGCTAGTGCCCTGAGAGACTTGGACGCTTAGGATAAGGATCATAACATGTGCTTGTGCTTTGTGCTTTCTGACTTAGGGCCTAGGGTTTTTGATAAAGCTAGAGCCTCTAGTACAGGAGGACAGCGCGTCCGAGTTTTCCAGGGCTTGCCGGACATATCGTCATTATGCAGGGCTGTTACGAAGGGCTGCCGCGGAAGGTTCGGGATTGAAGGCAACCTAACTTAGAACAAGACTGAGAGCTTTGCGATAGGATACTGATAAAATTGGTCTATGAAGGGATATTGGGACAGTTGGCTTATTCAGGCCTCTATACTAGGGCGTGCTCCCTGTGAACCCTCATGGAGCTGCTTCTATGAAGTCCGAGAGCAGCTGTTGGGCCTCAGCTGTGGCTGCGGGTGCATGGCCCACAACAAAGGCCAGGCAGCCGAACTTCGCTTGTATCGGCTTGCCTTCTTCATAATTAAAAACCGTATGTTTGAACTTCTCCAGCCGCTGCCCAAAGCCACCTGCAGCTGCAGTGGCGCAAGACCGATACAAGGCCGAAGATCCTTCACACTTTGGCCAATCTGGGTACAGACAAATGGCCGAAACATGTAGCTGGTTCACAAGATACTGAATTCGAGCTGCGCAGTTAGCTAGCTCGGACTCGATGAAGGGCGGAGCAGCCATGATGAGAGGGTTTTGAGGGGCAGATGTCAAAAAGCGGTCGACTGCTTCAGATGAGAAAGGCCCTATGCTCCCAAAAGCACCGTCCAACATGCATGGTGAGCAGAATGTCTGCAGGGTAGCATTAAACGGCGAAGCGTAACACTCCAGAACTGACCTTCCAGAAGTGTAGAACTCTGGGCCAAATCCCCAGTGGAGTCCGGAAGCGGTGGGGATGTAGTTCAGGATTGTTACCTTCAAGATCTGCTCCACCCAAGCTGGCTTCTCCCCGTCTTGCACCTGCAAAGGAGCAAACAAGTGCCCATGTCGATGAGCAAAATAATTGTGTATCTAAGCAGAACGAGCATTCCAACAAAAACATGAGCTATCGCGAAAAGAACCTCAAAGCACAGAGTGATATGTCTCTTCAAACCTCCGGTGTCTTTGAACTGCCCGCCTCCATATACTTCGTCACAAACTCTGTAGCCTTGCCCTTCAGCCGCTCCCATACAGACCGTGGAATCTGCATGGAGATCTCCGCCGCTGTTCCATAGCTGAATGTGCGTAGGCCGGTATCATTGTCATACGACTCCCGGAGGTTGGGCAACACATCCTCGTCACCTCG